ACTGTAGTGTGCAACGGGTTAACATTATAATAAATTTCAGGAGATGCTTTGGAATGAATCATATGACTTGGCACGCATAATTCACCAGCCTTATTGCTCGTCGTTGGGTTGGGTTCTTGTCACATTCATCCATTAATTATGCCAACTACCAGTTAATTTTTATATGCGTGCATAAATTTAGTATAGGAAATAGAGAGAAGAAAGTCCAATTGAAAGTAGAAAGAAGGAAGAGTGTTTTCAACCTAGTTTGCTTTAGCCATGCAAAGCTGTAGGTGCATGGTCAGCCCTCCCATCCTGTCTACCATATTGAAAAAACAACGAATAGTAAAAGTTTATATGATAGACCCATATTTAAATTACCCCACTTCACCTAACCGAACCCTTTAAAATTCAAATTTGAAATTCAATTTAGACCATGGTTAATAAAACCAAAAATTTATTAAAGAAATTGTTCATCTTAATTTAGCACAACTAAATCTTTAATTATAAGAAATTTCAATTTTTTTTAAATATATTTTTATAAATAACATTATTTTCAAAACAAAAAAAAATCGTTAAAATTATCGAAATATCTTAAATTGTTAACATTGCAAAATGCGTTTGTTAATTAAACAGAAAAAAAGAATGGAATGCAAAATATTCTTCAACAAAATCTACTTTAAAAAAATTATCAAAAAAAAATTATATTCATACCCAAAATAAAAAATCGATTAATAATGAATATTGATTAAATAATTAACAATATTAAAAAAATAAAAATTAATTAAAAATATTAAAAACATATTTTAATATCAACATCATTTCGAAACATAAATACCATCATCAATTTGTTACAGGTTAATTTTCTTATGTATGTTTGTGTGTTTTCTTTTTTTTCAATTTCTTTTACTTCAACAGAAGATCAGCTGTGCAGTTCATTGACCTATACAAGTGTTGCTTTCATGCAAACACACACACACACACGGTCAATTACTTCTGCATATTTGGTGACGGTTTAAACACATTTATGTATATTCAAAGTTATTAAAAAAAATGTATATCATATATAGCAAAATTTATAAAAAAAGAAATATTTCAATAGATATACGTGGTTGGTTTCATTTATGAAAAAAAATTAAACTAAATCAAAATATTGCTAATCAAATTCGTAGGGAAAGCAGTGTTTTCCAAACTGTATACTCTCATTAGCAGAGTTAACAGCGCTAGATGATCGTAACAGCTAGTTTTATGTTAACCGAGCACTAACATAAATAAAACCAACATCCGTATAATCTAACAGAGGAAACAAAGGCAAACAAACACCAACATCAATATCCTTTAAATTAAAAGCAATATGAATTCCTTTAAACGTAAAATAAAAAAAATACTTTTTGTTTAAAAGAAATAATTTACAAAATATTAGTTTTGTTTACAATTGATGTGTGGATTCTAAGATCGATAACGGTTAATCCGCTCACTTCTTAGTTCCAAGCTACCAATTGGTTGGTGGTTGTTTGCTAATAGTATAAGAGATTTGGACTTACTTTGTTGATATTGGAGCTCCCACGTTGAAAGGCCTTCCACAGAGGGTATAGTTGCTGTAAACTCGCAATAACTCCAGCACTTTTACACTAATTATCTTATAATTTCTTTTATATAAATTTCGTTTATATGATTTTTGTTTTTTTCTTTTTTTAATAAATATATATATTTCTTCTTTTTAAAATGTTTTCTTCTCTTTTTTTATACTCTCAAATCATTGATTTGTTTTCAGAGGTTTTCTCTCTCTGTTTTTTTTTTTTTAATACCTTCACTTCTGTTTTCACACAAATTGATGTTGCTCATGTTTCAATTTCGAATGTTTCCGACTGATTTATTTTATGTTAATTTGTTTTTTTTTTTTTCTTAAAGATCAGCAATAATTGGCATAAAAAATCACATATTTACTGAACAAATAATTAATTTCTAATAATAATTTTTTTTTATCTGATTTTCCGGATTTTCTGGAGACACTAGATTTTCACTGATTTCTTTACTCTCCAGAATCTGATTTTTTCATCAATTTTTGCTCTTTTTATTCACACACAACCGACCGATCTGTTCTACTCGAACCAACTAAAATATGTTGCCGATGATGTTGGAAAAGGTGTGGTGTTACGGCTTATGGGCATAAAGGGCATCAGGAAACCAGAACCAAGGGGGAATGCTGAAAGCAATCAAAAAGTGACACAAAGGCACTTTAGAGAAGAGACAACAGAGAAACTTCTGCAGGCAGAGAACTTACCAAATATCAATGCAAATTACATACAATATATGCGGTACTGCAGGAAAAAACTAGGGCTCCAGAGAAGGCAAAAGACAATAGCCAAAGTTTTCCCAAATTAAATTTGGCTAACGCAAATTAATGGGATTGATAAATTCCCTGAAAACCATATAAAATATACTCCGAAATTTTTAAGGCTTAAAAGTCGTGAACGCCAGAAATACAATTTTTGTATTCGAAAATACTTCAAAAAAAGAAGATTTAGAATTTGTCTTTTTTTTTATTTTTGGCAGGTTATGTAACAAACTTAAAACTTTTCGCCAATGAAAATATGCACCGCTTCACAATCAGAACCAAATGACCAAAATGTCTTCCCTGTTACACCCTTTTTAACCTCGGCTAAATCCATATAAATACGGCTGAATTACCAATACTCCTCAAATAAATAAAAATCCAATATGGCTACTTTCTAGCACAAATACATGTACAAAACACTCAATTCTAATGTTTAAATACGTATAAAGCCATATCGTAAACTAAACACATATGCAAATGAAAAAAAGCTTTCACCACAATTACGTAGCATATATGTTGTTTGGTTGTTGCACACACCAGCACTCAAAGGATAGCGAAAAGATCATATTATGGTAAATTTGGTGAAATTTTAATAACAAAATATGTTAAAAATATTTAAAAACGCAAAAAAATCAAAAATAACAAAACAAAAAAAATCAGAAAAAATGTTGTCCTCGCTAGGATTCGAACCCGGGTCTTCCGGTTCGGAACCCGACGCGCTTCCTCTGACCTACCAGGGGCGTCGGATCCAGGCTGGCTAAATGGGATCAACGTTAGATCGCGATTAGCGGTATATTAACTAAGATCTCTCTGGTCCATTATAGTATTACAGCATTATAATGTATAGATGAAGCAGTATAGAAGAGAGAAGTAAAAAAACAAATCAATATAATCGCATTGAACCGGTGGAACCAAAGAAAAAAAACAACAACAACAAATTCTGGCAGTAATGTAACAATCGAACAGTATAAGCAAACAAATATGCATAAGTACGTAATGTAACATGCTAAGTTTCTGAATGTTAATTAACATTATATTGGATATCATGAACCAGAGGTGTCCAAACCTCAGCAATGAGGGTGCCATAATAAATTTATAAATTCTCAAAATCTACATGCGCCTCTACATCTACAGCATAATTAGAAACATAAAGTGGTTAGGAGTATACAACCTTGGCCTTCATTCATTTTTCACTCCTTTAACTTACTAATTTTCTCTCCCCTACAGAATTGTCTTTGGTCTCTTCGCTGTATCTCTTCTTGAGGATGATCACAACGGACCTAACCGGTCTCAGATTGTTGCAGTCACACATGTGACTGCACATCCCCAAACCTAACCTACATCGTTTATAACTAAAAAACGACTGCTCCGATTTTGATGATTCAAAGGACTTATAAATCGTATGTGACCAGAATAGGAAAATATGCAAACTAATTGTGAGATTCCGCCAAAACAAATATATTAAGTAATATCTACAATTCCCCAATTTTTGTATCGTGCTTTAATGTTTAAATAGATTGTTGTTTTTAAGACATGTGGTTTTTTGAGTTAGTTAGATCAAAACTTCCAATATGTGTATGTTCTAATACTAATAATGCGATCATTAACATCGACGAAAGTAAGGGTAAAACGGCATATACATTAGAACTTGTTTACCGGGTTAACCTACTTTATGAGGATTTATTTGACATATATGCGAAGGAATTGACAATTGAAACCCACTGGGTTAACGAAATCCGGTTAAATGTAAACGTACTACAATGATAGCATTATTAGTAATCCCGTCAGATATTTGAAGGTTTGTCTTATTTTCTTCAGATTTTTTTTCCAACAATTTGAAGTTTGTATGTGGACCTATGTAAACTTAAAAACTTATTCAATGTTAATTTGAAATCAAGTTGTTTAAAAATGTGAGGATATAACAAATCCGATTACAACATTTCACGATTTAGAGTTAAGGTATAAAACTGGCATTTACAATTAAAAGAAGGTATACGGCGTCAACATTCGCCAAACTTTCCCCCCTTAACTGTCAAAAACTATATATAGAATATATAGCAAACATATACAAATCTATGACGGCAATCTGAAAACTAATTAACAATTTGTTTAAAAATGAAATATACCTATAACAACGTTTGCCGGGTCAACTAGTTTTATTCTGAAAACTATTTCGTATTTTTGTTTATATTTTTCGACATATCTACGTGGTTATTGTTGAATTGTTTTGTTACCTTGTATAATTGTACCATGGGTTCAACACTGAACTAATGTGATGAGTTGCCATATTTGACTTTGTGGCAACGTTGTTCCATCGTCGTCTGTCAATTTCTCCTTCTAAACAATTGTTATGTTATTCCTCACACCTCATTCGCAATCAATCGTTGTTCATGGCCATTTTGCTTCGAGTTTCTTCTTCATTAGGTATTCTCTTCTTCCACTCTTATTCGTAGCAGGTGGAACGGTTTTAATTTCGGTCGGTTGAATCATTCATTCGAGAGCGGCACACATTTTCCATCGCATTTTTGTTGAGTTTGTTGAGCGGCACACATTTAATTAACATAAACTAAAAAATAATTTTGCGGAAAAGGAAAAATTAATATAAGAAAAGAACGAACTAGCAATAAAAAGATTCCGCAAACATCTTTACATTCGTTGAAACAAATACAAGCATTCATTAACTGTATCTACAACAATAACACAATTAGGTAAGTTATACAGAAGTGTGACCGCGCCACATGCAGAAAAAAGTTCGAGAAACTTTTGAGGTTTTTAGTATTTTTTGTTGTTGATGTGATGAGTTTGTTGTATCGAAAATAATTCGAATTATCTATTAAAGTGATTTTAAATATCAAAATGAAATAAAATCTGAGCGATTAGATTACTGCAACAATGTTGGCAGGTATGATGATGTGGAAAATTGGGAAAACCCTTTGTTTCGTACAACCAACAATGGTGTTGTCGATTTATCAGCGTGATCGCCATTTATGGATTACATTTTGTAAATGTAAATGGTGTCTATTTTCAAGATGACGACTATGGATGGGAAAAAGTATTATGTTGTTTCGTTTACCTTCTTTTTTTGCGAATTTCTAGTGGAAAAACTGGATTTTCTTTGTTGGGATTTCCATGGATGATGAGCAATGTTTGTACAACGTAGACGTTATAATATTTTTGCATTTATTTCAGGTTTGGGGGAAAATGTTACTTAATAGATGATGATGAATATACTTTTGATGAAATATGAAACTGCAGTTGTGTTGTTAAAGAAAAACACGATAGTGTGTACATACATGAATGCACATGTAGTGTTAAGATTAAGGCGCACAGGTGTGTTTAAAATCAATATTGATAGTAACTATATTGAGAGGTAAAAATGCATCTTACTTAAGTTCTCGTGGTCTTATCGTCTGAATAACTTCATTGTTATGGCAGCATCAATTAGGAAATTCGTAGTCATAGATGTTCTGGAAAGTGGCAGGGTCACAACTATTAACAGTCGAAATCGGTTATAACGACACATCGATTATAATGAAGATGTACAAAAGATCCTTCCTTTATTTGATCAGATCCTTCCTTTGGTCCCTGGTTATAAGCGATTTCGATTGTATACCGATGAAATACGTCGTTAGCGTTGTATACTCCGTTTTTTACAAGGTGTATTGTTTCTCACACTGGGAAAATGCCAATCAACGTGAAATGGGATATACATACATCACTAGAATTTTATAAAATCGGATCGAAATTTCAAATCTCTCAAAAAGAACAATTAGAGAGCAATTCATGACAATGATGGGCTACTAATACATGAGCGGAATTATGATTCATGAAGTTGTGGAGATCTAATAATAATTTGTTGTAAACACAAGTAATCAAGCGTATTATTTTGTAGCAATAATTAAAATATATACTCATTCCATTTCTCACTTAACGGTTGCTTTTATTCTATTTCACAGATTAAGATAAAATGGCTCGTGGTCACCAAAAAATCCAATCTCAAGCTAAAGCCCAAGAAAAACAAGCCAAATTGAAGAAACAACAAGGACACAGTGCTACTGACCAAAAGAAAGCGGCACTGAAAGCCTTAGTTTATATCTGTGCCGTATGCAAAGTAAGTAAATGTAACACAGCTAAACTTTACAATTTATAACTTACAAAACCTGTGTCACTTTTTTACAGTCTCAAATGCCTGATCCTAAAACGTACAAACAGCATTTTGAAAATAAACATCCCAAAAATGATATGCCACCAGAGTTGAAGGACGTCTAAAGTATTCAGCTGTCTTTTGTTTTATAAACAAAACAGAAAAACATAGACGCGCACCCGCCTCTGACTTGAGGATTACTGCTAGCAGCTTGCTGTATAATCTTGTAATTAAAATAGCTGTTTATTTAATTATCTACACATTTACTTTTTTTATATTATAGTAATTTACTTTATTTTTTCTTTTTTATGAAATTTTATTGAATTACAATACGTTCAAAGAAAAAAATTAAAAAAAAAAATAAAAAATAATAAACATGACGATTTACACCATAAATGATGGAGCTATAATTTACTAATTTGGATCCCATAACTGAAGCAGAAGAAACTTTGAATTATTATTATTTTTTTCTACATTCAACCGAATTGTTCTTTTAAATCTAACTGTACTTCTATACAAAATATGTAAAATAGATATTATTTTGATATATAAAAATTAAACATTTTACCATAACGTTGTAGATTTCTTATTATTAGTAGTTGTTGTTTAATTTTAATGAAATATCAATGCATATTAGCATTTCTATTATTTTATTTGTCTTTTAAAGTCAAATAAAAACAAGTAGAAAACAATCATGCAGGCTCGCCTGGATATTGCCCGTGAATTTTATATAAAGGAAAATTTTAGCCGTATTTGGAGGGAAATGAATGAAAATTTTTATTGAGTCTTGAAAGTACAGTTAAAATATGTTCTCGGCCGGGCAAAATTTATCTTATAGGGTAAGAGTCCTAATACCGGGATGTACCAATAGTCGCAACTGTTGTATATAACTTAAAAATCCTATAATCAAATGTGAAAAATACCTTGAATAATCTTCAATGATATTGTAACCTATCTCTGTGTAAATTTTTATCGAGCTAAGTACATTTATTGTGCCAAAGTTTAGCTTTTAGTCAATGAGAGTTTTCAACACTAGCGATAATTCATGTTTCTTAAAAAAAATAGTGGGAATTTCAACTTTTAAAGATTTGTAAATATTATTAAAATTATATATTTTTCAAAAGGATCTTTTTCGTAATTGTAAAGAACATGCAGGAGAAAACTTTAGAATTTAAAATTAATAAAAAAATATTTTGGAACTATGATATTTTTATCGATGCCGTTCTTAGGAACAAAACATTTTAATGGTTTCCTATAGTGGGCTTATAGGTGAATAATAAACACCTTTTCGATTATTTTGGTTGTAAATTGGAACAAATGTTAAATAAGTTCTTTAAGTACCGATTAATTTACAAAAAAAAAAACTAATTTAGAGTGGTTTTACACAATTGAATATATGGTTTTAATCTTAAATTCCTTTTACCCAAAGCCGGCACCATGTTTTACAATTTCATAAATAAAATTATTTATATAACTTTTTCAATACTAAACTGATGGAGTCGTCAGATAATAATAATTTATTAATTCTAATAACAGAAAAATTGATTAAATATATAATTTTTGTTTAACTAAAATGCGACATGCCGACAATTGGAAAAAAGTGCCGACTATTGGCAAAACAGCACTATTTTCCATAATTATCAATTAATTAAACACATTTTTATTTCATCGGGGAGTAAACAACATTTCGAAACAGATGAACCTAACTACAATATAGTGGAAAATATGAACTTGGAATGGTAAAACGTTTAAAAAATCCTTAAAATGCCGACTATTGGTGCACTTACGCTATATGAATATCCAAATAAGAACCCTATCTTTGTACGCAGATACAAAATTCAAGCGCCCTTTCCACAAAATACAATTTTTGAAATTGATGCCCACTGTAGCTCAAAAACTTATGTACCGATCTTCATATATTTCTGTGGGATTATTATACAAATGTTGCCCTTAAGCGGAATAGTTAAAAAATGTTTGAAAAATTTATGGGGAATCGTTTTTTCAACCCATTGTTAAAATCGAAATTATGATTACTCCGGGTTTATACATGCAACTTTTGTAAGCAACTCTGCCGAGTTCTTAGAAGATAGAGGTATTAAATGTGACAAGGGAGAAGAAATTCAAAAGGGAATCGTAGTAGGCAGCAGCAGAGTTGCTTAAAAAAGTTGCATGTGTAAACCCAGACTTAGACAGTTTACCATTTTTCAACATTGATATTTTTAACTCCGTTTCGTATAAGGACAACGTTTTAAGGTTCCTAATGATACCACAATAATATGTTCAGCTCAGTTTATTCGTTTTCAAGCTACATTGGTCACCACAAATTGCTTTAATGAAAATAGTGGTTGGTAGACGGGCTATAGAAAACTATGCATTATTTTTAAGCAACAAATAAACCAAAAATAGCTTAAAGAAAAAATAACTTAAAAAATATGTTCTCCTCCTCCCATAAATAATACTAGAATGTGCAAATACGGCAAAATATTGCCCATGCTCAGGGTAAAAATCCGAAGAACAAATATTAGAATATTGGATTATTAAACAAATAATTGAACAATTAAAAACAAGAGCAAATTATATTTCGCTTTTTAAACGTTTCATTATTCCAAGTGCATCAATTACACTATATTGTATTTAGGTTCATTTGTTTCGAAATATTGTTTACTCCCCGATGGAATAAAAATTTGTTTAATTAATTTTTATTAAAGTTTACTAAAAACAACAAACTGGGATTCAGCCCGACTATTTTGCAAAAACAAAATAAATTGAAAAAAAGTTTTATTTTCAAATTTGATCTGTGTCCCGATCACTTTATATTTCCTTATACGTTTCACATCATCGAATTTGTTTTACGATATATTTTACAATATAAAAGTGCTGCCACACAGAAAACAAAGCCGATAATCTCTCCACAAACATTTCATTTCGTTACGGCCGTCTAATAGACACTTTCTCGACTCTGTTTTCTTAGATTTATTTTCATTTCTTTTTTGGTGATGATTGAATTGAATTTTAACTGTTGTTATTTTGTCAATTATGTGAACGAACGCAAAATATTTGTGCTGCAAATCTGTAAAATTCGCCATTAATTATTCGAACTAATGCAAATGATAGATAAAAAATGTAAACAAACTCCTCGGAGATAAGTGCATTTGATCATTTCTAGTGCTTCAAAGAACGAAGAAAGAAAACAGAATAAAAACATAAAAAGTCAAAGCAATAAAAGAAACAGAATACAAAAGAATTAAAAATAAAAGAATTGGTGCCTCTTTTAGTTTCTTTTTTTTTAAGTTCATTTATTTTGTTTTGTTAACACAAAGTGACAAGTAGAAAAATTATTGCCCTCAAAAAACTATAGATAAATTTGTGAAAAAGTATAAAATTAGAATATTTGTGACTGCGTGCCTCTGGCTCTCGGGTAACAGAAGTTGCGGAAGAAGAATAAACCTGAAGGGTCAATTAGTTGTGTTGTTATTTTCTCATTTGCGAATTATACCCTTCCGCTGCCCGTATTCGTATTCTGTGGCTACGTTGTGTGGTGAGGACAGATTTAGTCATCATGGATATTTTAGATATCGACGAGGCTCTTAAAGATGATTCCTTTATGTAAGTGAACTGGTTGGTTGATGACCGCTGCAAATGTGCAAATGGTTGAGTTACATAGACATTTTATTCTATGGCTTGCTTTCTGGTTTCTTTTAGATTTCTCGAAGACAAAACACATGATGACATTTCCAACATATTGCAACAATGGAAAAGTAACAATTACATGCCGCCTTCTAATAACACCCAAACACAGCAACAACAAGAACAAGGTAAGACATGACCATACGCGACCCACAAATAACAACTCTTTAACAGCGACAGCAGCAGTCGCAATTATTTGCCTTCCTAACTAACTGTATATATACTGTATATGGGTTACTGCAGCAACAGTAAACAAACGTTGTTATGTCCAACAGACACACACACCAACCAATCCAAGTCCAAACTTGCTAGCTAACCGGTATCTTGTTTTTTCCATAAATGTGTTAAACCTTCATAAATCTTGACTTCAATTTATGACAGTAGTACTTGAAATCAATGTACTTTGTATAACTTGTTGAATGGTGGTAGGTCACCATTGAATTTGATTTTGGCCATCCACGGTTATGCAAATTGTTGTTGCTGGTCGGTCTAAGCCGCCACCGCAAAATGTATTTCTTGTATAATCGATAAGAAGGTGTTATACTGAATACCAGCCGTTTGTGTTTGTATTGCAATGCCTATTTATGTACTTATATCGTTGCATTTCTCTTGGTGAATTTATTTTGTTTTCGAATAACAGATTGTTATGTACGGACGGTACCCAGTGAACCAACGTATTGGTTGTGCACTTTTTTCTATTGGGAATTATAGTGATCACAATTGAGGATATGTACATTAAATGGAATACATTTTCATTAAATGATAATTTCATCATATTTGGCTGTTTACTATATAGTTGAAATCAGTTACAATCAATCATCTAAACAAAGAATTTTGATGCCGCATTCCGGCTCGAATATCTCTTCAATCACATCTCTTCAATTTTAAATAAATTCTAAAAGAACGCATTTACTGTCATCCATTTTACAACAGATATTACGAAGTGATAAGTATGCACATGGTGTTTAATGTTTAATATTCCATATAGTTCTGGTAGTTGTGGTAAAGAAAATATATAAAATATCATTAAGGGGGCCCATACATTCTCGAATTAAGATTTTTATGATTTTCAACCGGCTGGGAATGTAAATTACATTGAAGACTTGTAATTTCGTATATAAGCACTTGAATTCTTTAAGGATAAGAAAATGAATTAAAATAATTTTGTTGTCTTTTTTTTTTGAAGTTGTTTATTGTAATTAACGAATAGTCCTTCTTTTCGGCGGAACGTCCGATTCCAAAAATTACAACCGCATTCGAAAACGTAAATTTTTTGTTTTTTTTTCGAACGTTCCCACGCCTGGTATCAGTGTTACCGCGGGCAATTTTAAAAAAGTTACACAAAATGTCGTTCCCTTGAAAAAAAGGTTTGTCAATAAAACTGGTCCGAGAATATGTTAGATACCCTTGGAACTCAAAAACGAGGTAGAAAAGTCCAAATTAGTTTGATATAACACATAAAAAGGAAAATTTAATATTAAAAATAACAAAGAAGAAAAGTCGCACAAAGATTAAAACGTTGCAAACACAGTTACAGGGCATCAAAAAGGTTGCAAATTGCGACTTTAGTCGCACAACGGTAACCCTGCATGGTATGAACTAGGATTATTAACACCACACAATAATTAATTAAATTTAATTTTTGAAAATCTCCTTCTTTCGATCACAAACCGAGTTAGAAAATAATGAAGATCTTGACCGATTACATTTTCATTTTTTCATATTCTATAGTCGAGTACGCTTATAACGAACACCGGTTATAACGGACTTTCTTTATAGCGAACACATTTCCTGGTCCCGAAGTTTTAAGATATATTTTTCATTCTAATCTTTACTCTTATAGCGAACTTTTTTTATAACGAACTATTTATCCCTTTGTGGCCCAATGTTGCCCACAGACAAGAAAATGTTTTAGAGCTTATATTTAATATGCAGCTAGTAGATATACAGTGGTGGTCACAGAATTAAAACATTTACTATGGTAAACATTTTTTGATCAGCCCTCGATTCGTTTGAAGTATTTTTGAAATTTTTTTAATTCAGAACACTTCGACATACTGCACTTAAGAGATTTAGTGTGAAAATGGAAAATTATTGCATGCAATTTTTCCATAAATAACGGTTTTTATGAAAATACATCGACTTTGAAGTGGCCATATAATTAAAACATTGTGTGATTTTTTACTTTACTGCATTTTTTGAAAATGTTTTTAAAAAAGCTCTTTAATTTATTTAAATTATGTAAAGTAAGCACCGATAAAATCATTTACTGATAAACATTTTTGAAAAGATCTGTAAAATCTATCAAAATTGCCAAAAATTTGTACAGTACACCTTATATTCAGAAAATAACACTTATTATAGAAAATAAAGGTCCGAATGCACCAGAAATTGCTAGAATTAGTAGAAAACATATATAATTTTCAAAATAAATAAATATTTGAAATAAAAACTGAAAAAAATGGGAATTAACCTTAAGGAACGATTCAATTTCGATAGCCTTTATTGAAGAAGGCCGGAATATTTTTGCAGTATGTGAGGAAATATCGATTGATATTGGCATTTATTATATCAAATCGATTGTTCGAGTAATACAGAATATATTGTTACGTTCTTGGATTTTACTAAATCCCGTGTAGACGTTGTTTTATTTCCCGATACAATTCGTACCAAATAAAACGCGGGTTCTTTCAGATTACGATTATTACAATGACTTTATTCACACAACTTTACTTTGCACTTTACTTTACACGACGGTTTCAATTCGCGATCTGATTCACAACTGACTCACTGCCTTTCCATTCCCTCTATTTATATGAGCCCTGCCTGTCGCTACAGAAGTTTCTAGACGATCTGGTAACACCTAGATCACGAACAATCTACCAATGCAACAAACACATTGAGTAACAATAACAACAACAAACTTACTGAGTGAACAATAACAACAACAAACTTGAGTAAACAAACTTACAATAACAACAACACATATACAGGCGAGGGAATAACAAAGAAAGAGGAATAACAACAACACATATACAGGCGAGGGAATAACAAAGAAAGAGGAATGACGTTTAACAAGAATTGTACGACAATAACAAAATAGAAAACGAAAGAGGAAATGGAAGGATGTAGAAAAATCTATACAGTGGTTGTTGTTGTGAAGTTATTCAAATAAACTGCGTAGTAGAAATTTACGTTACAATTCAAATTCTTAAATTAACGGAATTAATCTAAATTAACTTAAATCTAAAGTTATTTTCGTAACACTGCCCCCCGCTTAAGCCTGTTCGTCCCGAATAGGCACAGTTCCCGTTCCGTAGGGGGTCAGCCGCTCCAAATGTACAACTTTCATCTTCGACCTGGGACTGTCGCTCCTCTGGATGCGGTAAACGACGTCATTTATTTTCGTGACAACCCTGTAGGGTCCTTCCCAGTGCGTTTGCAATTTGGGGCATAGTCCTTTCTTTCGTTGTGGGTTGAACAATAGTACCAGTTGCCCTTCTTGAAACCCATCGGTATTTGCCGCTCGATCGTACCTTGCCTTCATGCGGTCGCTAACCATTTTTATTCGATGTCGGACTGCATCGTGGACTTTACTAAAAGAGTTTTGGCTGTCTTCATCTTGGTTCACATCGTCGTTTGGGGTAGCACCGAATATCAAATCGCCAGGTAGCTTTAATTCATTTCCGAACAGAACTTTGGCTGGGGTCCGGGATGTGGAATCATGAATGGCCGATCTATAAGCCAATAAAAACTTTGGAATATGCTCATCCCAGTCTCGTTGGCCACTGTCCACCACTTTCCGTAGATGTTCTTCAAGGGTGCGATTGAATCTTTCCACCATGCCATCTGATTGTGGGTGTAGGGGCGTCGTTCTGGTTTTCTTAATTCCGTAGGAGTCACACATTTCCTTGAAGATCGCTGATTCAAAATTCCTACCTTGATCGGAATGAACCTCAGATGGAACACCATAGCGACAAATCCAATTTTTGCTGAACACATCCACAATTGTCCTGGCTTCTTGATTTGGGATAGCATAAACCTCTGGCCATTTACTGAAGTAATCCATGACCACTAAGACATACCGGTTCCCAGAGTCGCTTGTTGGGAACGGTCCAGCTACATCCATTGCGATTCTTTCAAAAGGGGCTCCTGAATTATACTGCTGCATGTAGCCTCGACTCTTCCGTGTTGGACCTTTAGCTCTTATGCACCTTTCACAATTGGCGATCCAGTCGGCAATGGATTTTTGACAGCCGACCCAGTAGAATCTCTGCTTTACCTTTTCAGCCGTCTTTGCTATGCCCAGATGTCCTCCACTTGGCCCATCGTGAAACTCCGACAAGACATCTCTCATTTTGGAGTCTGGGACGACGATCAAGTTCCGGTGAGATTTGCCGTCCTCACTTTCCCATTTGCGATATAGGCAACCATCTTTTATAAGTAGACTGTCCCACTGGGCCCAATAGGATTTTAAAAGAGGGCTTTCGGAGGTAATTTCTTTACGACTAGGTCGCTTGCCCGTTTCAATGGCCGAAATTACTTTGCCCAGAATGGGATCTCTTCGTTGTTCCGTCGACCAATCTTCTCCCGACTCAAACTGCAATCGTCGGACATCCACGATATTCTCTTTGCACTCAGCCTTTGAGCAGTGGCTGTATTCTACCTTGCATGGCCGACGAGACAGGGCATCAGCATTACCGTGTTTTCCGTCTTCTCTGTGCTCGATTCTGTTCAACGGTGACTCATTGGTGGACTGTTGAGCCATTCTTCTACCATCTTTCGTTGTAGGTGGTGACGATGACCTGGATCGTTTGCGTTTAGCTCTGCATTCGCGTGCAATATGACCTGCTTTATCGCAGTTGTAGCATCTAACCCTGGGCTTAGTCATCCCTACTAACTTTGTTTCTTCTATTACCCGCCTCATGGCGTCCTTGATCAAGTTAACGAGAGATTTGTGTTCGCAACATTCGGTCTCCAGTTGGCTAATCTTGTGGGTCTGGGGCTTAACAATCATTCTTGCCGTCTCTTTGGCAAGGGCAAACGACACCGTTTCGGCAAATGACGCTTTTGGTGACGCATATGTTGCACATTTAATCTCAGGGTCACGTATGCCATTCACAAAGGTTTCGATTTTCATACGGTCCACCAATGGGTGATTCTCTCCTGGATACGCCATTAGCACCAAACGTTCCACCTCAGCTGCAAAGTCTTGTAACGTCTCGTTTGCCCTCTGTACTCTTCCCCTTAATTCCATAAGGTAGATGTTTTGTTTATGTTCGCCACCGTACTTACGTTCCAGTGCAGCAATAACATCTTCATAGTTGTTCCTAGAAGCGACAGGAATACTCTGTATAACATCAGCAGCACTGCCCTTCAATGCCAGCAGTAGTGCAACCGCTTTGTCGCTGTCGTTCCACGAATTTCTAGAAGCCACTGTCTCGAACTGCAACTTGAAAACATTGAATGACGTAGAGCCGTCAAATACAGGAGGTTTGATTTTTAGTGTGTTATCAGGAACTCGCACCGGACCACCCTTAATTTCCAGTTCTGATATTTTCTTCTCCAGATTCGTAACCCTGTGGTCGTGGACCAGAAATTTCTCATCCACAGACAGAATCTTCTCGTCAACCGACTGCACTTTCTTATCCAACTCTTTTATTTGGACCTCCACGGTTTCCACTCTCCTTCCAATAACTTCTGTAATGTTCTCGAGTTTATCCATCATTCTTCTCGAATTTTCCTCGCTCCTTCTGTAATTTTCCTCAAACATTTTAGCCAGCATTTCTCTTAAATCGTCACCCCTGGCAGCTACTGACGAGGCTTCCCCACCGTTGGATTCGCTAATTTCCGATAAATCCACTTCATCCTTACTGTCAAACTCATATGTATCGATGTTCATACCACGGCGCCCGAACTCATCCAACAGACGTTTTTGTAGCTCAGCCTTGTTGCCAGTAGAGGACAATTCCAATTTATTGAGCTCCTTCTTCAAGTCTTCCACTCGTAGATCCTTGAACTTCATCGTAGTATTATCGTAATCCCACTTCTGACACCAATTGTTACGTTCTTGGATTTTACTAAATCCCGTGTAGACGTTGTTTTATTTCCCGATACAATTCGTACCAAATAAAACGCGGGTTCTTTCAGATTACGATTATTACAATGACTTTATTCACACAACTTTACTTTGCACTTTACTTTACACGACGGTTTCAATTCGCGATCTGATTCACAACTGACTCACTGCCTTTCCATTCCCTCTATTTATATGAGCCCTGCCTGTCGCTACAGAAGTTTCTAGACGATCTGGTAACACCTAGATCACGAACAATCTACCAATGCAACAAACACATTGAGTAACAATAACAACAACAAACTTACTGAGTGAACAATAACAACAACAAACTTGAGTAAACAAACTTACAATAACAACAACACATATACAGGCGAGGGAATAACAAAGAAAGAGGAATAACAACAACACATATACAGGCGAGGGAATAACAAAGAAAGAGGAATGACGTTTAACAAGAATTGTACGACAATAACAAAATAGAAAACGAAAGAGGAAATGGAAGGATGTAGAAAAATCTATACAGTGGTTGTTGTTGTGAAGTTATTCAAATAAACTGCGTAGTAGAAATTTACGTTACAATTCAAATTCTTAAATTAACGGAATTAATCTAAATTAACTTAAATCTAAAGTTATTTTCGTAACAATATTTTATCAAAAAACATATCAGTCACAACAGAACGAACAGAGATCAACGCCTATGTTTACGAGTAAATGTTTCTGCCACACAGCAGCATTTTTTATGCTCAACACAAGACTTTAAATATTTGTCAAATTGTAAATTTTTTCTTTCTTTTAGGCTAAAATAGATTAAATGGACATTATTCTATTCAAAAAATATTATTTTGGAAAAATATTGTCATGTTCAATACATTTTAAGGGTCAAGATTTAACCATTAAACATGCTGCTGTGTACCAGAAACGTTTTCTCGTAAACATAGGCGTTGATCTCTGTTCGTTCTGTTGTGACTGATATATTTTTTGATAAAATATATTCTGTACTACTCTTCCGAAAGAATGTGCTGTATTTCCCGAATGCAAAGATGTAGCGATGTCAAATTTTGTGCATATCCTAATTAGTATAGTTGCATTAAATCTGTGGACAGATTGTCTAAGATTGCGGAAAAAAATTCGGGGCTCAAAGGGTTAATAAATCTCATATTACAGCTAACATATTTTTAAAAGGTTGTCAGCGTTATATTAAAAAAATTAACTTTCGTGGGGATTGTCATCGTAGTATTACGTATATTGTAGCATTAAAATATATGAAAACTGTATGTTGGGAGCGAATAAATAGTTCGATATTAAAAAGTTCGTTATATTCGTATGTCTTAAAACTTCGGGACCCGGAAATGTGTTCGCTATAAGAAAAGTTCTTTATAACCGATGTTCGCTCAAAAAATATTAATAGCAAACGCTGGCAACCCAACAGAAAAAATATCTGACTCATCAAAGGAAAAGTGAAGCAGCTTAAGTATTGCCAAAAAGGACAGAAAAAATTACATATTTTGGAAATGAATATCATTTTTTTGCTAATCCTTGGTTTTGCCTTATTACGAACTTCGTCTATCATTTCGTCTAATTTGCTTGGTCCCTACTTGTTCGTTATAACCGTACTTTACTGTAATATCTTCTGCATAATTGTATGTATTGATTTGATTGTAATGCATACCTAAAATTTAGTACATCTTCACCACAATATTTGAAAATAAAGACTACGAATTATTTTCTATTTTTCAAGTAGATTTAGGACATTTGGACAAAGACTCATTCAATTGAATCTAGAATCGTCATAGCTTTTTTCCGCAATCTATACTATACCAATTTCTATTGTATAAACTAAAACAACAGTTGATTTCTATTAAAGTTTGTCAACCCATATCAATTAATGTTACATAAGGAACCCACCCTGGACCTTCTGTGACTATAAATTCCCTTGTACTGTGTTGTCTGTTATTCCTATAATATCTAAATATTTATATTTTTAATATAAAACCTTTCGATGAAAAATGTTTTCCATTGTGTTTTTATGCAATCCCTACATAAAGTTATTTCTTAATAAATACACTTTTTTTCAAAACAGCATTCACTTCACCATATATTTCCTTTTGTGTAAAAAGAGAAAACTTACATGTAAATGACTTCCATTGCCTCATTTAAGAAATGTTGAAATACATGCCAATTTTTTTTATATAAATACATATAATTAAAAACAATATTAATTATTATCTCGTTTTTTCGATGTTCTTCTTTTATTTCATATCCAAACAATAACAAATCTGCATATCTACATGCAATAATATTATGGTTTTACCTACGATCATGGATTTGGGGGATATGTTCGTGCAGCATATAAATTAGATTCCAGAACGTTCACGCGACCAAAACGGAAGTTGGCACAAAATCTTGAACCACAATTCGTAAGTACTATTGAAATATTATGTATGTTGTTTTCTTTTTTTAAATATTTTTATATATGTAATTGCTGGCATATATTACGACAAGTATGACTTGACGAATTTGGCATTTGTGGTTAATCAGGGTCTATTGCACTTTGTGTTGAAAATTATGCGGCTGTGGGTGGAAATCGAATATGACTCTCCGTACACTAGAAATTGCAACAGTTTTAGCTTATTCATATTGCAAGGACAACAACGAACAAACACATGTGTTTTAAATTTAGAAAACAGTGTAATATGAAATGACTTAGAATTTGTGTAATAAATGTGTATGACTAATGCTCAATCATCATATTATGAGTATATGAAACTGTGTAAATAAAAATGTACGTCATGTGTGTAATTTGACGAATCCTTGTCAAAACGACTGAGCATGCAAAAAAAAAAAAAAAAAAAACTTAAAAGAAAATCTGTTTGCAACAAAATCACCCATCATATTGCTTTCGTATTTTTTATAATCTGGGACATTTTTGATTTTAATGAAACGTTTTTATTTCCTTTAGTTAATGTAAATATTGTTTATGTCAATATTGTTTATGCATATATCCTTTCATGTGATAACAACGCCTGAATGACTCACAAGCATTTGTTAAAAACATTGTTTGAAGGATGCAAGAAAGTACAGTAAATGTACATTAATAACTTTATAAAAACCCGCTACTGTTTTGTAAATTCAAAATGAAGTTATTTTTATTATAGCAGCAACTATATCCAAAAACGATAAAATATCGCTGGCTTAACTTGTAAAGGCGGCAAGTCCATATTTCACAATTTTTCAGGAGAGACAACAAATAATCAAACATTCTTTTGAATAACGATTTTTTTTAAATCTGTAAATGCAATTTGTTTTTGTATTGTATGTGTAATTTAATTGCGTAAAGGCAAAATGAAAAAATAAGTATTTGCGGAGATACACGCCTTTTTTGTGACTTAGAGCTTTTTCTGTCGCGAAGTTTGCATGTTTTAACGGACTTAGGTCTTTTTCTTGTAACTTGTCTATCATTATAGTTTCTAATTACTGCAATAATTTTGATTTTTTACGTGTTAATATTATCTAAAAGAGTAAAGATTGTTTTGGAATAATAATTCATTCAAAAATATGAAAAAAAAACAAGTAAAAACATCGCTATTTAGGAAGGTCGAATATTGGGGATAACGTTATATGGGCGGTACCCTAAAAAGTGGACCAATATTGATAAGTTTTTGTTGGAAGGTGAGCTACCCCATAAGTACCTAAAATACCAAATTAGTTAATTCGGCTGAAAATGTCCAAAATCTTCAAAATAAAAAGTGAACTTACAGCCTGTACACGACGAGATAACTCTACAATACAAATGAGATAACTCTATTTTTATTTTTTTAGATCGATGTATTTTGCCTCTTTATACATAACAGTATCAAAGTCTCAATTTCTCGAAAATTGGACTTGTTGCCTTTAGAAGTTAAGCCAGCGATATGTAAAATTTGTCACAATTATATGAGAAAATGGACTAAAGTACGGTATTTAAGGATCGGACTTTTTATATTCCTTAGCAGAATAATGGAGCTATACCAAATTGGGGACGTTTTAATCGTTTGATATTTTCGAATTATTGAAATAAAATGTATATTTGTTCGCTAATGCTAATTTATTCTAAATTTCTATGCAATTACTTTGCCATCATAAGAAATGTATTTAAAACACTGATTGTTATTACTTTCAAACCAAAACTTGATCATTTACATTAATTGAAAATATCCATACTATCCATATTACCATAAATATATTTAATTGTGAAATGTAGCTTAAATAAAAATAAATAAATAAAATACCTACCATTATTTCAATTGACCACAATTTCAAAATGTTTTATACGAATTTAAAACTATATATAATAATGCATTCATCCAACCCAAACAAAAACACGTTAACATCTGCTCGACATTACTACTCGATCAAATTTTGAACAAATGTTATTAAACCTATTGTGATATAATATTGCCATCCAAGTGACAAATATGCGTTTGTTTCCGCAAATCAATCGACCGTTAAAATGTTGTCTCTATTCAACCTTGAAGTCAATAAATCGTTGTGCTTTATCTCATTGGCAATTTTCATTTATTATTGTTTTTGTTTGCTGTTCTTTTGTGTTCGTTAGCAAAAGGGGTTCCCTCTCATTTATTAGCTACATATATGATTACTTTTATTCCGAGCAGCTTGGTGCTGCTGGTGACGCAAATTGACACCATAGCCAAATGTATTGTATTATGACTCACGCACACAACTAAACATTACCGTGTACTTATCAAATACAGAGTCTATGTGGATAGATAGATACTACTGACAGACAGACTGACCATAAGTATCAAGTCATGATATAGGCAAGATATGTGTGTACATAGATGCGAATAAAGTCAACATTTGCCACAATAACAGTTCAAATGATATATTTATGTTTTGTTTAGTAAATAGTGCTTGTAATTAATTCTATACTTTCTCTGCAGACAAATAGTACCTCGCCCTCAAGTGCTTCACAATACCAACCACAACAGACTTTCAATAATTCACAACATGAGAACCCAATGTTTAATTTGGAAATCGGTGGTCTGGTCACAAATATGCAGAAATCATTTCTGCATGATGTTTCTCCGCCATCTTTTTCGTCCATGGATGCCTCCATAGATCGCATGAACAACTCTCTGATCACATCAGCAGATTTTTCAAACATCAACTTTTTGCAGTCGACAAACAGTTTAGACTTTGGAGGCAACGACATTAATGGCCATGGAGATTTTGACTTCATGGGCAAGATAACAAATGATGGTTATACTCTCAGCGACATGATTCGAGATCGTAAAGCTCTGGAGTCATTAACAATGTCGAGTGAAGGTACCCTGATCAAGGACATGCATATCGGTCAAATAGATGATATTTCGTTGACACTGAGTAAAACCGCTTCGGGATGCAGTACCATGGATAATTCGACTGAAAGTGTTGAAGTCAATAATCGAACAATGGAAATTCCAAATAAAACTCGCAGTTTCGATACAAAACCGAATCAGGGAGGAGTCGCAAGTAAGAGCAACAGTGGTCTCGACTTAAATCGAACTATGGTGCTGACGGATGAAATGATTGGTGATATAACATACAATTTGGTGGAGAACAGTATGTATGGTAGTATGGCTTCCGAGAAAGCCCTCAACATTACACAGAGTCTAACGAAATCACAACAATCGGGCTCGGAATTATCCTCCAAAACTGCACCAGGTTTAGATCAAACTGTATGTCTGTCGACGGAAGGCGTTTGTGGCACAACCTTGGAGAAGACAGAAAATTCAACATTTGATTGCCAAGAGAACATAACTCCCAACAATCGTTGTGAAACCCCGGAAGGTATCGAAAAGCCAATCACATCACTGAAATACTACGAATCTACTCCACAAGCAACGAGTGTGCGTTACAACAAACAACATTATACACCCACTCTGAAAATGGTGGACGATGTGAATATTTCACCGATAATAGCGTCGTCGGCCCTTCTTCCACACAATGCCACACGCGTTCTCAATGACACGTTTGAGCATGAACAGCGTGTTAACAAGACCAACAACATTATCAATACAAATACTTTCTCTGGTAAGTTGCCCTTGAATGCCACCGTGGAAATGATTGAAAACATCGAGAATCCCAATGGAACATACGAGAAGGGGAATCAGCACTACGAGCATCCGAGTCCAGTGTCGTTAGAAATGAAGAATGTTATGGCCTTAGCTCAAGCTGAAGCAAATCTGTTGGCTTCCAACAACAACGAAGAGGAATTCGACCACATGCTCGATGAGTTCAGCAAGGTCGAACTCAATGCGGAACAACTAAAGATGAAAAAGTCCCTGGACTCCATTAAGAAACGATTCAACTATGGACCCAACAAGGACAGATCAAATTCTCGAGAAATATCCCGCGAAGCTAGGGATATGAGAGATATGATGCGGGCTTCGGCCGACATTTTGGGTGATGAAGATCAATCATCCAAGGACTATCTGAACATGACTATGGATATTGTCGGGAAAAGTGACATGAGAAGATCCAAAGAGACATTAGTGGAATCACCACATGCTTTGAGCGAAGGTTTGGAGGGAGTTAGGAGCCCACTTAAGGATTCTGTTACCAGCAGCAGTATAAGTGAATCGAAAATCTCAAACGGAGGCCTTAGCATGTCTTCCGTAAGCAGTGCTAGTAATTGTGGCGAAAGGTTACTAAGTCGACGCAGTCGGCTATACGATGATATTAACCTATCCACACTTTCGCCCAGTTCGACACATGGCTCAAAAATGTCTTTGGGCTCTTCGTTTACTGTGCACAGAGACGATGACAATGTCACCGTTGCCGCCACCACCACCACCGATGAAAATCGTCCAAACACAAGAAATGAGACTGAAAATGTGTGTTGTCAAAGTGCTCTTGAAATGGTGCAAGAAAAGACTGAGAATGCTACGGAAGAGGTCAATTCGGAAGCGTCCACATCATGTGCTCCTCAGACGCAGGACACTTCAGCTGCAGCACAATACAAACTTGCCGAAAAGCGAGAAAGAGACCGCGATCGTTTCAAAACCATTAAAATAACTAAGAATCGCAGTGGTGGAGGAGCGAGTCAAACTGGAGTGGAATTAAATGTGCCTTGTATTGATGATGATTTCGATGTAGATGTTAATGCTGTGGTGGAGAACCCACAAGAATCGAACTCACGAATTTCCCGAAGAGATCAAACAGTTTCACCCGTTTTTAATAACAATAAATCGGAAGTAGAAATTGTCGAAGCCACTAAGACAACAGCATCGAAAATAAACCCCAACTATTTAACGTTCAAAAAGCCAAAAGACAAGCAAGCGAATGTCCGAAACTTGCCAGAAATTGCTCCCGCTTCTACAAACACAATTGCAGCAGCGCCGGATGTAATGGCAAACAAACCGCGGTCACTCTCTCGTCCGCGATACCTAAGTGGATTGACCAAGTTTAGTGCGGTCAGCAAGGCAACATCAGCTGATGAACTGGAAAAGTCAATTCCCCGTCAAACGAATTTAAATGCCACAACCAACGCAATATCTAGCGGGCTGACAAGAGTGACAAATGGTGCCAACAGAACGTTAAACGGGGGCCAAACAAACGAACAGCCAAGTGGAGAATTGAAAAGTCCCATGGGTATTAAATCGAAATCATTTCATAATCTATCAAGCAATCATACCTCAGCTACCAATATTAGCATTGGAAGTGGTGGAGGTGTACCTGCTCCTAGAACATTTGGCTTAAGAAAACCAAGTAGTGCAACATCGACCGAAAAATTGGTATGAATTTTATAAAAAAAAAAATCAATAGTTTTCAATGAAACAACAAGGTTATCAAAAAAAACTTTATTTTAGGTTAAAACAAACCCAAATCGGAATTCAGCACTTTTAAATCCTGTTAGTGTACAACAGTCTTTGGCTCAGCAACAGGTATGTAAAATGTCAATTTTATAAAAATTAATGTACAATAAAATCTGTTGAGAGGCCAAAAGGAAAAACAAGCGGTTGGTTTGACGGTTGCTTATGAACTATACTCAGTTTTATTGAATTCACTCAGAGCTGACTAATTACACACTACTAATTTATACATCACATAAACTTCAAATAGTGATAATATAAATGGCTAAATGGTTATTCGGTTATGTATATTTATTACAACACTCTCCCTGAATAAGCATTTACCATGATATAAAAAAAATACTTAAAAATACAAAATTCATAAAATTTATATTAGCCCAAATTTAATGGAAAATAATTTGTACTTGTCGGCAGCCACGGCTTTGGTGAATAGGTCGGCTACCATGTTTTCGGTTTCCAAATATTCCAGACTAATACGACCAGATTCTAGATTCTCACGAATAAATTTAATTCTGATATCTACATGTTTTGTTCTGGATGAGTATGAGCTATTGCGTGCTATTTGAATTGCGCTCTTATTATCGCAGTATAATGTAATAGTATTGGACACATTCAATAGTTCTCGTTCCAATCTTTGAAGCCAAACAGTTTCTTGCATTGCAGCAACAACCGACATAAACTCTGCTTCTGTTGACGATAGGGCTACTGTACGTTGTCTCTTGGTACACCACGATATTGCTCCCCCTTGCATCGTAAACACATAGCCTGTAGTCGACCTCCTATCATCTACGTTACCTGCCCAATCTGCGTCACAAAAGCCAACTAAGTCGCCACCTGACTTGGTATAAACCAAACCTTTCTCAAAAGTACCCTTCAAGTACCGCATCACTCTTTTAACTGCTTTCCAGTGGGCTTTTCCAGGATTGGCATTAAATGTGCTTAGCAAGTTGACAACATAGCAAATATCCGGTCTTGTGTTTTGAGCAGCAAACAGCAATGAACCCACGGCTTCCAAATATGGGACTTTTCTCATTTCCTCCTTATCTTCTTCAGTTGATGGACACATTTCTATTGACAACTTTTGATTTATATCCACTGGAGAAGATATCGGTTTGCTATCTGCCATACCAAAACGCTTTAAAACTTGCTGTACATATTGTGATTGATCAATTTTGACACTGTTTTCTGTTCGTTCTATTTTCATCCCAAGTACAGATGTAGCTTGTCCCAAATCTTTCATTCGAAAATGTGTCGATAATTCTTCCTTTAATTTCTTGGTGACATCTACATCAGTTGAAAATACTAATACGTCATCCACGTATATAGCAACGAACAGAAACTGATTTGACTGTCGGTAATAATAAACACATTGATCAGTTTCACTTCTTTGTAATCCAAACTTCAACAAAACATTGTTCAGGGTTTTATTCCATACCCTACTAGATTGCTTTAGGCCATAAAGCGCTTTTCTCAGCAAACAAACTCGATCTGTACCATCTTCGTAACCTTCAGGCTGTTTCATGTAGATTTCCTCCTTAAGTTCACCATGGAGAAAAGCAGTTACTGCGTCGAGTTGGTGGATGTGCATGTCATACTTCACTGCCAGTGCCAACAAAAATCGAATCGATGAGTATCGCACAACAGGGGCAAATGTCTCTTCATAGTCGATTCCTTCTGTTTGACTACAGCCCTTTATCACTAATCTAGCCTTATATCGAGTGTTTGATCCGGATCCATCTGCCTTTGTTTTAAATACCCATTTAGATTTCAATGGTTTTCTTCCGTTGGGTAAATCTACTAACTCCCACGTTTTGTTATGTGCAAGAGATATTATCTCCTCATCCATTGCACTACGCCATTCCTTAACATTGTTTGACTTCATGGCTTCTTCCAATGTAGTGGGATCATTTGCAATGAATGTTGCAGCACAAAAACTATAATTCGCACGTGACTTTGCAGCTAGCCTTCCTGACCGACGTATCTCGGTATCGTTATTATCATTATGGAGTTCTTGTTCAGCATCTTCAAACAACACATTATCATCGGACCACTCGTCGAATTCCACCTTCATGCTATCGATGGAAACATCGGCATTCTCGACAACTTCCGCTGCACCATCATGTTGTGGTTCTTCTACACACACCTCCTTTTCGTTGTCATCGATGACTTCTACTAGAGTATTTCGAATCTCATTAGTAAAATTTGTCCCAGTTCTACATACCTGTTTCTCCACAAATACAACATCACGGCTAATTATTATTTTCTGTGTCTTCGGATTGAATAAACGATACGCCTTACTCTCTTGACTATACCCAACGAAAATACATTCTTCTGACTTGGCTTGAAGTTTCGATCTCTTCTGCTTAGGAATATGGACGAACGCCTTACAGCCGAATACTCTTAGGTGCTCCAAATTCTGTTCTCTGCTAGTCCATAATTCTTCAGGACTCTTCGATTGTTTTCTGCATGGAATTCTGTTTAAAATATATGCTGCGGTAACAGAAGCTTCAGCCCAATATTTGTTTTTAAGTCCAGCATCCAAAAGCATACAACGTACTCGATCCATTATGGTGCGGTTCAATCTTTCCGCCACGCCATTTTGTTGCGGAGTGTACGGTGCTGTTTTCTGATGAATTATTCCAGAGTCAGACAAAAACTTTTGGAAAGGCGCATTGACGTACTCAGTTCCATTATCTGATCGAAATATCTTTAACTTCTTGGAACACTGATTCTCAGCCATATTCTTAAAGTCCTTAAAGGCTTCAAAGACATTCGATTTATTTTTAATAGGAATTAAGAATACTTTTCTGGAGTAGTCGTCCACGAATGTAACAATATACCGAGCGCCAGAAAACGACTTTGGTTCAAATGGACCCATCACATCAGAATGTACAAGTTCTAGTAATTCCGTAGCTCTGTGACCTTCGTCCTTAAACGAGGCTCTTGACTGTTTACCTTGAATACAGACTTCACACTTCTCGCCATTTGCCTTCAAGTTTAATTCATTTGCGGCTTTTATTTTCTTTAATGTGTCATCGCAAATATGCCCAAGTCTTCTGTGCCAAATACTTGCATCGTTGTTCACGGTAAAGGCTGCATTTGTTTTTCTAAAACTTAAACCACACAGCTTGTACAAATTGTTCTGCGAAATTGCCTTTGCCACAACAACACCATCGTCTCCAAGAATTGTGCACATATTTTTTTCAAAAACTACTTTGTTGCCGTTCGCCGTTAATTGTTTTACAGACAACAAATTTGTGCAAAGAGATGGAACAAATTCAACATTCGTTAGAACTGCATTTGTCTTTGTGCCACCACCATTCAACACCACTCTCACATCTCCTACACATTCAACCTTCATTGTGTTGTTGTTCGCCACCGTTACTTCTCTCCCAGTAGTAGTGCGAATATTCGACAAAAGCGATCTTGAATTTGTCATGTGAGCAGTAGCACCAGAATCGATGTACCAATCTTCTGCATTTATTTCATGTGGTGTAAAAAGAGATGTCAACAGCAGTCTATCATCTGTCTCTTTCTGTTTTTGCGCACAGTTATAATTTTCAAATTTTTTCTTGTTCGGACAATTTCTTATGAAATGACCCTCCTTTTTACAACCATGGCACCTAAACTTTTTACCTTTTATAAATTTCTTCTTTGATATAAATGCGGCGTCCTCCTTCTTTATTCCATCGAATTTAGCATCTTGCAGTAACAAATTCTTCACCATATCCACATTCAATTGTGTCTTAGAATTTTCCACTGCTAGCACCAATGACTTAAATTCTTCTGGAAGTCCGGCCAACATAAGGGATGCTACCAACTCATCATCAATTTTGAGTCCTGCCTGTTGTACCTTCATCGATGCCATTATCATCCGATTAACGTAATCTTCGACGTTATCGCAGTCAGATAATTTCAGCTGCACCAGTTGTTTCAATAGCTCCACTTTTCTCGTTAAGCCCGTGTCTTCATAGGAACTCACCAACGCCTGCCATGCTTCCTTAGCTGACTTCGCCTTAGCAATATGCGCAAAATTACTTGGTTCCACCATCAGGGTTATTTCAGCCAACGCTTTTTCATTATTCTCTTTGTCCTTTTCATTTGCGTCTACCGCCAAACCATTTTCTATAATTTTCCAACAATTCTTCAATATAAGATACGATTTTGCCTGCCGCTTCCATGTATCAAAGTTTTCACGGCCTCGAAGTTTATCAAATGGAAAAGACAATGCCGATGCCATTTTAATCGCTTCTCACTTATATATCTCGAAATTATTACTTTAAACTTTTTTAAAAAATGCCTCTGGGCCCATAACCTGTTGAGAGGCCAAAAGGAAAAACAAGCGGTTGGTTTGACGGTTGCTTATGAACTATACTCAGTTTTATTGAATTCACTCAGAGCTGACTAATTACACACTACTAATTTATACATCACATAAACTTCAAATAGTGATAATATAAATGGCTAAATGGTTATTCGGTTATGTATATTTATTACACGCTGACTATGATAGTCAATACTGGTGAATCTCATTTATCACTAGAAGCCATAGTAGTAGAGGAGAGAGAAAAGTGTTAAAACCATCAGGGGCATTATATTGTATCTAGTTGGCGCATGGAATAAATTAGGATGGTGAAAATGTGAAATAGGTTGATCTAATCTGATATTATTAGTATCTCATAGACCATTATAAATTATTTTAATCTTAAAGATATGCAATTTTGAACTATTCCAGAAAAACGAAGAAGCCATATTTAAAGTTCCAAAACTTGTATCTGGTCTTCGAGCACCCGGTAGCAGTAATGCAGCAGCGGCAGCAAGCAAGAGAGCTGGTTTGGTAAGACCATCTTCCGGGTACTTCAGCCTTAATGTAACCGCAAAGGGTGTAACACAAACACATGCTGATACAGACAGTGATAATGGTCGCCATTCTCCTACTGACGTAAGAATCATTCATTTCAATAAATATAAAAATGTTTCAAATATTAATTGCCATTTTTTTATTTTCTCTTTCTTTTATATGTAAAACACAGAGTATGTCATCGGCATCTTCCAGAGGCAGTGCTCAAAGTCTGAATAAGCCCTTAGGTATTAAAGCACCTAGTGCAACGACAAACAATACAACAGCAATAAAGACAAGTAACGTTAATGCTACAGCCGGTCTAACGAAAATTACAGTCGGTTCTACAGGTATTCCGAAGCCATCTGGCCTAAGGCCTCCCTCGGCCATTAAACGCAGTGGACTTCCTCGACCATCTAGTTTTGCAAAATAAGATGTTTTAGTTGTGTAACAATTATGAAACCAACAAACTATTATCATTTGATATTATTAACAATTTTATACTCCCTAAGTTCTCAAATATGCAAATATTTCATGTTAAGGTAATAAGAAGAGCTCATAAAAACCAAGTATTTTTAGAGTTGATTAAACAAAAAATAACTATTATTTTTTCATTTATTAATTCGTTTTTTTTTTCTACAAATAATCAATACTTTTTTCGAATTAACATTATTTTTAGACTGCAATTTTTGGTCGCATTTACAAAAAACAAATAAAAAAGAAATAGGTTTACTACTCTATAAGAAGAAAAACGATTGTATTATAGATACTCAGCTCAATTAAGCTCACAGAATCTATCATCAACAAAAGTATTGTTTTGAAACTGTTATGTGAAAAAAGTACAGATAAATGTTGTTACAAGTTCCTGCCTTTGTAAAATTCAGGAATACAAAGATGTTATTATGAATCTAATTTACCGCTCATCGAAATGGAAATGAAACGAGTTCGGTGTATTACATTGAATGTTAGGAATGAATTGTACACTACTACGTATGTTCCATTATAAAAATCACATTTTATATTCGAATATATCACAAACAAAATCAAATCAACCCCTATCCAATAAAACAGTTTAAAATTGGTTTGGAATAAGTTAATCTTAATAAGTGCCAATTATAATTTCATTGCTTTTTCATAGAAAACAAAATAAAAACATCATGAGTAAGTTGATTAAAACCACAAACATAAATAAATCGGTAACAGTGTTTGTGTGTATGCGTCATGAAACATATTCGCTTACTCTGGATAAGAAAAAAATCAATCGCCCTGGAAATTATGTTAGTTTTTCCTCCATTCATGCATATCCCATGTCTTAGTTTGTAAGTTGATTTTTTTTAAAGATAAACTATATTGATAAATATTGTAAAACTAACTTACCTTACCGTAATACTAATCGATATACCATAATTCATACCTGAGGTCTCCCTCTCTTTGTATCAACTATCTTATTTCAATCACATATACACATATGCCTGTTTTAAATCTAAATATATTACCACATAATAAGTTAATATGTTGCTTCTCATGTCCACAACAAATAGCAAATACACATACATAAATACGTATTATTATTATTGGCTTGTTATACAAATGCACTTAAACACCTATTTTAGTTTTTGAATGTTTTAACTAAATAATTATTAACCCCTCATTATACATTGAATACTGTTTTATTTTATTATAATCATCTTAAGTTTTTATTCATACTAAAAAATGCTGAAAAGCATTTTACACATTAATATTGAATAAAATGTATAATTATACAGAAAAAGTGCATTAGTTGTTTTTCTTATTTCATTGTAAACGGGGTAAGTGTTGATCGATATAATTGGAAGAAAAAAAGGAATTGAAGTTCCCTATTTGTGTGGCAATTGTTACCATTGGTATTCAATTCGGCTACCAAATATGGGTTATATATATGACCGTAATATTCCGCAATATTCTAATGGAATCGGCGGTAAATTTTCGTGAAGTCCAAAGTGCGTCCACCACACTTCATCGTAATTTGTATTCTTTTTTTAAATATTGAGGTCATATTTAATTACCAATGAAGATTAATCAATGAACTGGACAGGAACTCATATTACATCGAAAACAAATGAAAAATTAAGGGCACATTCTGTTGACCATGGTCATGTCCAGGATACCAATAAAATACAGTCAGTTAATTGCATATTCATTAAAAAAGAATACAAATCAAACACAATTTGCTGGTGCTTTCCATTATTTATTATACAACGTTATTAGTATAAACGATTCTATGATATACATATTTTGAATATATGTTGATAAAAATGAAAGACCCAACAAAAATACAAGAAAAATATACAACAAATTTAAGATATACAAAATAGAATGTATTGAGAAAATGCACAAATATAAAAATGTTCTATTAGAAAGTTTTCGAATGTACTATGAGGAAATATACATTTTGATTTAAAAAAAGAGATGAATCACAAGTAGTCACGACCGACAACAAATAGAAAATCAATAATAATCTATGTTAGAGTTCATGGATGTTCGAAAATGACGATCAGGGTTTTATTATTTGTGTGCAACGAATATATTCGAAAAATCTCTTCAGTTTCGTTTAATGTTTTGGTTGAGGTTGTTGTTGAGCGACCGGTTGTTGTTGTTGACCAATTGGTTGCTGAGCTACAGGTTGTTGTTGTTGGACTACAGGCTGTTGTTTTTGAACTACAGGTTGCTGTTGAACAACAGGCTGTTGTTGTTGAACGACAGGTTGTTGCTGTTGTGAAGGAATGTTATTTTGTTGTTGTACAGGCAAATTATTTGGCATTTGTTGTTGGGGGACAGCATTATTAACAATTGGCTGTTGTGCCTGCACTGGTAAATTATTGTTAGCAGCTGGTTGTTGATGTTGTGCTTGTTGAGGCTGTGGAGGAGCCACGTTATTAACCTGTGGCTGCTGTTGTTGTGGTTGAGCAGCGGGCACGTGTTGGTACACTTGATTTGGATTTAGGTGGACTTGTTGTCCTTGGTACTGTGGCTGTTGGTATTGTTGTTGTTGGTATTGTTGCTGTTGATACTGTTGTTGTTGATGTTGTTGGTACTGCTGCTGTTGTTGGTGGTATTGTTGTTGCTGCTGTTGGTATTGTTGTTGCTGTTGAATGTGTTGTTGTTGGGGATTTTGATAATGCATTTGTGGCTGCTGCTGTTGTTGGTGATATGCACCAGCTTGATAGGCATGATTAGGATCTGGGTAATAACCTTGTGGCATATTTGGATGCGGTGGAAGCTTTGTAGAAAAAAAAGTTTAATAACATTAATATATAAGCTTTCTCTACCAATGAAAATATTCATTATTACTTACCAAGCCCTGGGCAATCATACGATCAACTTCTTCCTTTCGTCTACGCTCAAATTCTAAATATTCTTCGTGAGTGTACTGGGGCTGTTCATCTATAGTTTGCCATTCAGGATCACGATTGAACTCATCACGTTTGGTTTGTTCCAAAAATTCTTGGAAGCTAATTAAACCATCGCGATTTGTATCTGTTTCTTGGAATACGTGTTCCCGCATACGTTCCATTTCTTCAGCACGCTCCCGCATATCATCTTCTGGCAATCCTGACTTGTAAACTTTATCAAGTTCCTTGACAAAGAGAGCCTTTACTTCGGTTTCGTCCCAGAAACCGTTGCCATCGACATCTAAATAATATAGCATAGATAATATTGATTATTTACAAATAATATGTTAGTCTCAACTTAAACTTAACAATAATATTAGTTGGAACATTAACGTCGCTATGAATTGACTCAGATACTATTATGTTATGTTGATTTAGTTAATATAAATAGCTCTGCTCATTCCTACAATGCTTGCACTTCGTCATTATACTAACCATGAATCATGAAAAATGTATGAGGATCAAAATCTTGTTTATCCATATGATCTTGTTCTTCCCAAACCTCTTCCAGTTGTGCTTTGTTGCCGGGATGATGGACCTTTTCGTGTTTCTTATGCTTTTCCTCCAATTGTTTTTGTTCTTCTTCAAACTTTTTCCTTTGCTCTTCGGGTAGCTCGTTTTTAATCATCTCCTTTTCAAATTCCTTTTGCATTTCGTATTCCTTGAATTCTTGTCGGCGTTTTCGGTCGGCTTCTGCCAAATCCTCTGAAGTCTTTTTAATTAATTTACGTAAATCCTCAATTTCGAATGTATGTTCATTGCCGTGATCCAAATGTTGGGAAATTTTTAGATGATCCCGGTCAATGTCATTGCTTAGCTCAAACTCTTTTTTGGCTAAACTGCGAAGACGTTCGAGTTCACGACGTTTGATTTCGTCCAATTTTGTGCGTACATGATGATTAACGTAGTCCAGCTCTTGAGCTATTTTACCACTCTGAAATATAAATTCTCATTATTATTTGGCACTCTCTGACGTGTACAATGGACGGGCATACCCTAATATCAGCCTCGGGTGCTTTGTCTAACTTCTTGCGGAATTCCGGATCACTTTCCAATGCTTCGACCACTTCCTTCAAATAACGTTCATATTCCAAAGCTGTTTCCACATCAGGTGTGGCTGGCTGGGCTGGCTTTTCCTCTTCATCTTTTTTTGTTTTGGTCACGGGCAAAGCAAATGCCAGACATAGAACGCAACTCACCAGGAGTGCAGTCGTAAAAAAATTGTTCATAACTTTAGATACTCCTAATGTCGATGAATTTGGTAATGTGCTAATGATACTCTCTGGACGATTGGAAACAATATATATATTTATTTAAAGAAAAACACTTGAACAAATAAACTAAGCAATATTGCGAAATGACGTCTGGCTTGGAGTACTTTCAAGAATTATCTGACGTTGACGTGTACTTTACGACGGTGAGCACAATGTTGGCGTTCAGCGTTTGCCGTCTTCTACTTATAGGGTTATTCAGCAGAAACACGATGATGTCTAGTGACAGTTGTCAAAAATGCAGAGAGAAAAAAGTCAAGGTTGACTTTAAACGATATTCTCTATTGACAGGTGTAACTCAAAACCTGTTTGGTGTAATTTCAATATTTTATTTTTTCAATTCAATTTCAATTTCTTTATTTTTCATGAATGGGAACCTAGCCATAAGGCCATGATCGGTTCCAAAAAACACTATACATCTACTACTCCAATTCAGAATAATTGTTTAGTATTAAACCAATTAAAAATCAATTTATTGTTTTAACAACAAAATTGTCAGTCAAAATTACTTTTACTGTCAGAATTACTGTGACTAATATTTAATAAATATTTTGAAATGTATAAAAATATGCAAATTTAATAGATAATAAATTTTTATTTTAGCTATTTTTTTCCAAATACGTTCAATACATTTCATGTGACCACTTAAAACTACTTATATATGAATTGATTTAAAATATTATTTGTTTGTTATCATATTGCGTAAAAATTCATATGAATATCTCCTACACACTCTAATTGAGAAGCTCTAGAAGTTCCTCTAGTTTTTACCATGGTATAATTATTACCATTACATGGTATAATTATTATTATAGGGCACAGCTACCAACTGATTACAATTTTTTCTCAAGGTGGCCTGTTCCATTAAATCAAAATACATATTTTGTGCATGTGTGTGTATTGTTTTGAATACAATGTCAAATAAATACAAAATTAATTTAAATAATTTCAAGTTTAATTGAAATGAAAATAAAGTTTTAAACACGTTCGTTTGGAAGTAATTACTTTGTTATGGATGAAATAAAAATTTTATGCTATTCCCTATTGGATTTTGGGAAGAAATCATAAGCTTTCATTCATTTTTCGCGTTTATTTTATTTAATTTATTTTATTTTTGACAGAAGAGGCTTAGTTGCTTCTTTGTTATTCACCTCAAGCTGCCCTACTTTGTATTATTGTACCATGGTTTTTACTATTTTTGTTGATATCATAAAGAAAATTCTGTTATCATAGTAAAAAGTAGTAGATTCTTGGGAACAGACCAGAATTTTCTGCATAATCTTTTTTTATTTTTTGAGTTATACCTGAATCTCTGTTTTACAATACACTGGTTTGTTGGGTTATATCGTGGATTATCGTTATCGATGATATCGTTTTGTGATGTGCCATCTCTAACGTCAACAGCAGTTTATGTTTTGATTGTCAAACAATACAAACTATTTTTTCTTCGTTCGAGGATTACGGAAATATTTGCTGGAAAAATAAAAACAAACGGAAAATAAGAATTATATGAAAGTTTTAAGAAAATGCTGCAAAATCTAACCAAAACTGCAATGAATGATTCCAATAAAGTGTAAAATAGTTCTACAAAAATATAAAGAATCGTGAAAACAATAAATAAAATGAAGTGAATCCAAAGCCATTGATCTATAAAAAAAGAAAGATATACAATTCCTGGAATTTTATTAAATCCGAAAAAGAACAAGGTTAGCAAATGTGCATTCAAATTATAATTTATGTTTTAAACCTTTGCTCGTAAAAAGGATTCCCGATTTTGTGGCTGAAATTGATTTTCCACACACACATTGTATGTGTGTGTTTCCTTTGTGTGCAATAGTCTATAAAAAGACAAGGATGTCGGAAAATATGTTGAACATTTCATAATTGCAAATTGGTTGTGCCAGATAACAATCAAGCCACAAAGACAGTAGGCGGCGCGCCCATATTGCATCACGACAAATGTTGATGACCTACTCTCTATTGTGATTATGTGCGTATGTGCAAATAAATATTTGTTGTCCGCATTTTTCCGTTTCCGGCTGACATACACACATGTACAATAACACAACTGGGAAATGAAATTATATATGTATATGCATGTTTGCTTTATTTTTAGCTTTAAATATTTATGACCATTCTAACGCTTCCTTTGGTTTATTCTACTTTCGTTGATTGGGAACGTTAACATTGTTCGTGTCAAATAATAATTATTTATATATATACGCACACAGGTCAACCGAGTTTCTAAACAGGATATGGGTATGTCACAGTATTTCTAAAAGGATTTGCGTTGGATCTATACATTCACCACACTGTGGTACAGGGTATTATGTCTTTCTGCATATGTTTGTAACAGAAACGACCAATGTTAACTTTTGAAAATTTGCATAGAATCACTATGTTCGGTTCAGCATTAGATATAGCTTCCATATATACTTGCACCAACTTCCTCATGTTTGTCAGATTGAAACAAAATTTTACACAACATACAAAATTGAGCATTGAAAGACGTATGTGTAAAATTTCATCGAGCTAAGTACATTTATTCAGTCAAAATTTGGTCAATGAGATCTCTTCAACACTAGTCATAATTCATGTTCTTTAAACAAAAATGGGGGCCTGCCAATTTAAACTATAACTATATTAAAATTTTTTTTTTTTTTTCACAAGGACTTGTTCGTAATTGTAAAGAACATACAGGAGAACATAATTTAAAATTAATTAAAAATGTTTGCACTTATGGTATTTTTATCGATGCCCTCCTTAGGAACAAAAATTTTAATTTTATAGTCGGCATATGTCTCAAAATTGGAAAAAAAATTAAATAAGTACATAAATACTGATTAATTTATAAAAAAAAAAAATCAGTTTTGATTGTTTTACATAATTGAAGACTGATTGAAACATCGGATAATATATATTATTTTCTTAATTTAAATAACAGAAGGATCAATTAAATATATACTATTTATTTAAATAAAATGCGATATGCCGAATATTTGTACATGACATGCCGACAATTGACAAAAATTACAATTGCATTTACTTATAAATATATAAATTGCGTTAAAAAATCGTTAAGTACGACCTGGAAAATAATCTCGGGATCTTTATATAGGATCATAGGAAAGAAGTAGACCTATGTCGACTATGTTTTCCAAGGATATTTTGTAACCTATAGGCCACAAAAAAATAGAAAATTCAGACACTTTTGAAGGCAAATATTCGTAAAATTAAAAAAATAAAAGGTTTCTTTTTATTGGGACACCTAGAAACATAGAACCGAAAAAATCAAATAACAGCCAAATTCGGTTGCAAAACGTGTGCAGGAGCCTAGAAAACCCAAAATTTAATTATTATTTTTTAGGAAAATTTGTTAACCAATTAGAGCTCAAAATACAAAATAACAGATAATTCTGTTGAAAAATGTGGCATAAATTCCTAAAAATACCGAAAATATGGGCAGTTATATGGGTTTTCCTGCTAAGATTCGGACCCCTTTTCTAAATATTTAACCGAAATTTCATAAAATTTATTTATTAATTTGTTTAATTTACAAAAATAAATATCGATCAAGTTTTTAAAAATATAGATGACAGATTATAGAAATAGATGACAGATAGAGGACATAAATTTTATAGATGACAGTCAGTCACCTTAACTTAACAGCGCCCGTATTGCAAAACTTGTTGATAATCGTTGATAAAACTGATTTATTCATTGAGTATTTATCACAAATATTTCTAATAGAAAAAATAGTCGATGGAGTAATTTAAATGATAATAATAAAAATCTTTTTGCTTCATAAAGTAAATTTACTTTATACATTTTTCGTAGTGAAGTTTAAACGTTTCCATTGTTTTGTTAAGACCTAAAAAATTTAATACTTTTTTCGTCATAATCTTAAAAATCTAGTTTAGTATAAGTTTTTCCTTTTACACTTCTAAAAATTGCATTAAATACATTCTTCCGATTCACGTGATTTCGTTTTCAAAATCAAAACACTTTTCACATTTATCACGTATTATGTGTCACATATACAAAATATGTAGTGAGTAGATAGCTTAACACAAACTTATTATCAAACTAAATTCCCTATAAGAGCTACATAATAAAATACTAAAGTCCTCAAAGTCCCTACCATTTGAAATTTGTTCCAATCAAATCCAGCCTGTGCAAGAACACAATCTCTGCCATTAAGACTAATAGCCTAGACAGACGACAGCCTTAATTTGCATTAACAGCCTTAATTCAAATTAACTTGTACATTATCCTTATCTTTGTGTGTTGTTAATGCACAAAATCAAACTGAATTTATACTGAATTAGGCAATTTCAATATGGCAATGCTGTCGAAAATTAATTGTTTCTTGTCAAATTTATTTATATTTATGAAAATAAAAATAAGAAACGAAGGCAAATTTCAAAACTTTTCAAAATTGGGAGCTGTTTTGCTAAGATTATAGTTGCTATTCCTCCTTTATGTCATGTATCTATTTCCTAAAGATGTAATCCCGAAAAATATCGAAACACATGTAAAAAAATGTTCACCTTACACACAGACAAACAATTGTTTTGAAGCAATCTCTCTGCAGGGGTATATATTAATTCAAATTAAGACATTTTTAATGCAAATTAAGGCTGTCGTCTGTCTATGGCATAAGAGGTTTTCATTAGTTTTAAATTGCCTTTTTTCGTCTAAAAACAAAAATTTGAATTAGAAAGTTTTGAAATTATGATTTAGTAGTATATGAGTCGACTTTATTTGGATTTTCTATACGCAGGAGCGAGACGGAAAATTGTTTATAATCAATATATAAATATATTAATGTTTCCTTATTTTAAGAATTATTTTGTATTCGTATATTGTATTCATAAATTATAAATAACAATTTTCCTTTCCAATGTAATTCCTTTGATTCTAATTTGTTCTGCAAATTTTCTTCTATCAATTCTTCATACATATTTTGTTCATAAATATACTAGGATTATATTATTATTTCAAATAGGTATAAAATAGTCATCTAGTTCAAGATATTACAATTTTGTGCTTATCGACAACATTTGTAGCTTAAATGGCTAATCTGATGGAGATGTATAAATTTATTAAGTATTGGTGACAATATTCAAAATTTGTCAATGTATCTCCTTATCCATATATTGTATCATATACTTAACTTCATAATTTAAAAATCAATAATATTCAAATTGTAACACGTACCATAAACTGTAATTAATTTTGATGATATTGTTTGTGTTGTAAATTGTCCTTCCTTCTGTAATACACATATATATTTTTTTACTTCAGTATTTTCGCAAATAGACTATGATGACAAAACAACACCAAAAGTAACCCATCATTAAAGAGTTTACTACAAAATCATTAGAACATTTAGAGTGCACATACATACACACGTATGCACTAGCTGTATATGTGTGTAGACAGCGATGACGACGTAATTTTATACCAAATATTTAATTGTAAGTCATATTTGCTCGCTTCCAAGTTTACTTCATTCTTTTCAAAAATTCTACTTTCGGTGTTGTTCTGTTAACTTTGAAATATTCAACGAACTCTCAGCGCACAAGTGTTAAATCAGCCAGACATGTTTGGGGACAAGCTAAATTTTGTGTGCGACTATTTTAGTCTCATTATGATGGTCATCGTGGATACATGTTAAGCAGCAGTAAGCGTTAAATTAAAAGCGTGAAAGTATGACGTTAACCCCCATAGTATTTATTAAATTGGGCGTTGCTTTAAATTAATCCGTATACTACCGATAGAAGAAGTTTAATCATTCTACAACGAATTTTGTGTAATTATTTTTGCAGTATTTGGTGTTGGCAAAATGGTTAAAATACTCCAGGCTTATAATTTTGCCAAACAAAACACTTTTGCTTTGAATGGAGAAATATTGTCGGCGACACTAATCGATTCTAATCGTATTGCCATCAGCAGTGCAGAGCAATTTATAGAAATTTATGATATTGTTGATAGACAACGTCCAGCTGCAGAAAGTAAAGATGCAGCTACGACAGCAGATTGTCCGACATTCAATGGAGCTGTCGATGCAATACAAACCTCTGGTGCCACATCCAATAGCCCACCAACAACAGCTGCTGTAAACAATGATGAAAAATCTCCCAACAAATATACATTGGCCACGGTTGGAGAAGTTGTCAATTTAATATATTGCGAATCGGGTTGGTATTAAACACACGGAATTTTTTTGTAAATATATTTTGAAAATTACTATCGATCGTTGTAGGAAAATATTTGCTGACTTTGGAGAAGGAAACTGTGGGCAGTCCAGTACATGCAACTGCATCGAGCATTAGCTGCACTAGCAGCAGTAACAATGCCACCGTCTTCACCGAAGATGATACAAAAATGTTTGTTCGGATATATGCCAATTTTTGGAAATTTCCGGAATCCAAATTAATTGATTTGCCCATAACAATACGGATTGCTTCGATGACCACACCAAAGGCTCCACTCGTTAAGAGTATTGATGTTATCGAGCTGCCTCTGCGCAGCCCACCTGATTTAATTCAATGTTGTCAGGTAAGGAATTGAATGTCGTAACGTTTCTGCATCAGTAAAGAAAATGATTTCTAAAGGGACATAGAGTTATTAATTAGATTTGGCAGATTGATGTTGGCCCTTTTAATAGATTTTTATGTTTACAAAAATATTTAGTACCATCAGCAGTGTTTTTACTTTTCAATTTCCTTTTATACCAACATCGTATTTTATAATTTCCATTTATATATTTTTGTTTCAGTGATGTTTATGTTAAAGATAAGATTTATGATTTTTCAAGTTTGCTCAACTTCGATGTTGATTTAATTTGTGAACAAAAATGTCTTTTTTTTTGCTCTTTTAGACATCTGGAAATATAATCGTTAGTAGCAAGGATCGTATTTATCTCTATGAATACACTCAATGTGTACACGAAAGTACACAACCTCGCTTCAAGTATATCGACTTTTTGCCTTTTAAATTTTTCGTCAATCTCAATTTTGTACCACTTAAATTGAGTTTGGCCGAAAATGTAATAGCCTGCATGAATAGTCGTTATTGTGTGGCATTTCGGGTTATCGATGTGCTAGCAAGTAATGCATGTACAACTGGAGAGGGTGGTGCTATGTTATACGGTGAAGATTACGATGCTATGGAAAATAATGTAGAAATCGATGGCGAGGAGATTGCATTAAATTCTGAGTCCAGTCTGAACAGTAAGACTAGTGCTGGTCCTTCATCACATAGTCACAATAGTTTCGAAACAGATTCATTGGAAACTACGGCAAGCGGTCGACCATTAAATGGTTATCCGGGTCGAACTCCGATAGACTTTAATGTGGCGCGAATAGTGAATTCGGCTTGTGGAAGGGAATTTGAGGTTGATATACGGTCACAGTGGGAACAAAGTGATGCGGATGGCAACAGTATCAAAACAAACATACCGTGTGATACCCAGGAAATAATTATAGGTCCCACCAAGGCCAATGAAATAAAAATCAAACTTGTCAATGAAGCCAAGGCAATGAATGTCCAGGTAATTGTATAGCTCGATTTGAATCTCTAAACTAATACCTTAGCGTTTTAATTCAATTCAATTACAGCGCATTTCGAGTAACGGCAAAATTGTTTCGGCCTACAGTGAAGAAAGTGCTGTACAATATGATATTCGTAAGTTGTTGCAAATTTGCATGAAGACATCTGAGCCAGGCGGTGGACGAGTAGTAGATATATTGCGCTGCATGGATTTAAAGGCCATATATCAACGTTCCGATAACGAATCAGATGAAATCGATGATCCCGAATATGATATGGGTAATCAACAGGTTCCGGGTGCCATATCAACATCTAAACATATTAATCGGCGAACACTGAAGTCCCCGCGTCATCAAAGCTGCATTGGTTTTGCATTGCTGGTGGCCAGTAGTGTCGATGGTTATCTGTATCAGTTTTGTGCTCAGGGCAAGTGGTACAATGAAAATGAGAAACCCATAGCCACATACTCATTCACAGCACCTGTACTACAAGTTCACATTAACGATTATGTCATCTATGCCATTACTACGGAATCAGTGGAGACACACACATCTCGAATTGGCCACAAGTTGTTTAACAACCGCTTTGAGTATCCCTCTCTAGCTGAACTGTTCCCGGAGGAGTCTAGTCCCGATGTAAATGCCCCAATTGCTGTCATCGGTTTATCGTCGTTCATGCACGTTCAATATGTCTGTGTCAATCGCAATAATGTGGTGTTAATCAGCAATGGGGCCTTGGCATCGAATGCAAGCGAAACTGCAGCAAAGCGTAGGAGTACTGGCGAAGGAAAGAAAAATATAGCTGCTCGTATTATTGCCGAGGCAAAGGCCAAACATAGCCTTTTGCGAAATAGTTACACTAATCAGAGCTCGGTAACAAATGAATGGACTTTGTATAATTTGGAAGTGCCTGCTGTGGAACAAGTTGTTCTGGACCTGGAGGTTATCGCGGAAACATATCGTTCTGCTAGTAGCTCCAACTTTTATGATCTTATGGAAGAGGCCCATGCTATGCTGCGAATGAGTATCTCGTTGCAGTTCGATAGGTTGAGCGAAGAAAGAGAAGCTCTGCTGCGTGGCAAGTTCATGGAGAATTGCCGTAAGCTGGCTGATTTTTCCATTAGATCCAAGAAAAAAGAAATTTACATGCAAGCATCGGGATTTTATAAAATGTGCAACCTGACCCTATCTGAAATCTATGGCAACTATATAAATAATTTCCTCTATATGGACGAGGAGAATGGTGAGGTAATGATATCACCAGTTACCCCTGGCGATGACTCATCGTCGACAATTGAACCCCAGCAATTGGCGGGACTTATATACACAGTGAAATTGTTTTTGTTGAGTTTGGGTACCAGTCGTTTGAATGCCTCATTTCTAAATCAACTGGTGAAACCATTCTTTACACCCAGCCGTGTTGTAAAGCAGGGCTTTAGTCATGTCCCCCTATCCTTGGAATTTCTAAATCTCTTTATAAAATATTCACCAAACGATATAGCGCAAATTATGTTAAGTTCTCCTGTTGTGGCTGATTCCATTAGTGGTGAAATTATAAATTATTTGAAGTTTTTAGATCATTTGTAAGTATAGCATGTCTTCGGAAGAAAAACAATATTTTTATGGCATATCTTTATTATCTAATACAGGAGCGCTGAAGACAATTTATTGTTTGCTGTAACCGCAGCACGCATGTCTAATTATATCCTGTCACAAGAGGTTATTTCACGTACAAATCGACATGATTTAGCTGTAGCTCTAATGAAATATAAAAATGCACTGTTCGATGACACCACCACATTGTACCAAAAACACAAACGCAACAAAGCTAGTGATTACAATTATAATTCTCCAAAGCGCTATCAGCAGCAGCCGCAGACGAACCTGAAACACGCAAAACAAAAGACCTCACAAAATTCCAGTAATGGACAACAGACAAATGAAGTGATCCTGTTCTCTGATTTCACCGAAACAATTCTTTTGGCTACTGAAAAAGCCGAACTAATTGAAGCGATAAGTGATGTATTTATTCATGCCTTGTGTGTGGAGCACAGCATAACATTGGATGTGATTCTGACGTTGTTCTTGAATTACATTGCCTCGCATATTGGACAGAAGGGATACCAAACCTCGCAAAAAGTGTTTGTCAATATATTACAGGTAAATAGGGTGAAATTGGTGCAGTTCAATGGCTGTTGTAATGTATTTGTTATTTGCATTAGGTCTATTACTATGATATGTTTGATGTTAATCCATTGAATACCACACAAGATGGCCCAAGTAATAATACACCTCCGCAAACGGATGACGAGTATGACGATGGCTTTTCAAAGCCCAACAGTGATCGTGACAGTGAATCATTGGCTAATTCGATTGGAGAAAGTAATTCGGCTGCCAGCTCCTCCTTAGACGATAGACGTATATCGGGACAATGTAATCGTATTGTGTATGACCAATTGCAGGAGCAACAATCGCCGTTTAAACGTAATTCAAATGCCTCGCTTCTCAACACCGAAGACCAGTACAATGATGCCGAAATGAACAGCAAAGGTCTTAAAATATTATTTCGCATGTATATGGGGCGTTTAAAAGCGCTCAGTGACTTGATAACTGACCTACAGTCGGCCGATTTGGAACAACAGTCCATAAATGAGGAGTTTATAAGTCTGCGCATGGAGTGTATTGCATTTATGGCACGTCATTTACAAGAAATGAAAATTCAACAGCAGCAGCAGCATTTAAATAAATCGAATGTATTGTACCATGGCAAAGCAGCCGCAATAAACGGTGCCATTGAGTCGAAGTCTATTTGTGTACCGCTCTTGCCGGATTATAAATTAAATGGAGAGGAATTTGATCGTCACATAAAATCATATGTCCGGCCAATTCCTTGCCTTCTGGAGCGGCCACAATATCTGAATCGTTTGCCGCCATTTAGACGTGGAGATTTCAGCTATCCGAATATAGATGAAGGTGAAACCGAAGTACGTTTTGTGGGATGGCACAATGAGCTGTTGACATTAACGTTAAAGATACAGGTAAATTAGTAAATGAATACTGATTTTTAAAGTTATTGCAACCAATGTGTTTTTTTTTTGTGATTTACAGTCTTTGCTGGCTTCGCCAAAAATCGAACAGGATGTCATCGAAGAATTTATTGCATTCGTACAAAAAACACCCAATCTTATGGGTATTGACAGTTTTTTGGTAATAATATTGCCCAAACATTTAGCCATCAACTATATGTTACATTTCTGCCCCGAATATTTATGGCAATATGGAAAGGTATATTTATTTGCTAATACCATTTTTTGTTACTATTACAAAAGTTCACTTTCTGTTTCTTAGTCTAACAATTTCACGCCAAAACAATGGGAATCTCTATTCAAGAAAATTCTAGCTAAAAAGAATTTCTTACCAAATTGGAAAACATATGTAACAGGTAAATTATTTACTTACTCGCAATTTGTTTTAATCATTACAAAATATATCTTTCCATGCAGAAATTCTTAACAATTTAGTTGCTGATTGTAATTTTGAGGAATTGCTACAATGTTTCCCCAGTGAAGTGATACCAAGTCGCAATGTTGAATTATGGAACAAAGAGTTTACTACGGAATGTATTACCTCCATTGATACCAACAATGGCGGTCTCATATTTGAAGAGATAAACGACAACGTACTTAAACGGGATCACATGCCAATGGATAATGTAGACGAAAATAATGTTTTTGAGGTGATACTACGCAAAGCCGTGTCCAAGCAACGAAGCATTGCATTGCGATCGATGATTGAGTCAACTGGAAAACAATTATTTGATGCTACCAGTAATCCCATGTATAATCTCTAGAGACCGAAAACTAAAAGAAGAGAATATTGGACAAGTATATAGTGATTTTTAAACTAGTTTTAAAGGTTGTGTTACAATGAATGATTTCGTCGAATCCTCGAAAGGCAACAATATTTTAAATTATAAACAACTTAGTCATTCCACGTGATCTCAACAAGTTAAAAATAGATTCTTTTAAAGCTAACAATATCGAATTCACTATATACGACACACAAAGCTATCAAAGGTGTTATAGTTAGATAAACGATAGTTATTAATCGTCGTTTTTGAAAATAGATTAAAAAATGTTAATTTCAAGGTATTTATTGAAATTCAAAGGCTATATTATTTGTCGTATACTTAAAAATATTCGTAAAGTCGACCCCGTGCAACACAAACATATAACAATATTTCATGATATTATTGTTATTATTGAAAAAAAATAATGAACTGGTCGATCTGGCTAACTGATTTTAACAAGTCCGAGAATGGGTGTATGTGGGCACATGGTGCTCATCAAAAATAGTTACATACAAATTGGAGTCGACTGGACAAAAATACATATATGCAACATATTATTGATCTTATGATTCATAATCTTTACAAATTAGAAACAAATTTATTGACAATTATCAAAGTAGTACATTTATTCCATATATTCACACGCCGATTAAAAAACAAACACCATAATTAACGCTTTATTTATAATTACGACACATGTGCACAATTGTTACTCATATACTCATATTTTTTGGTGATTGATAATTAGAGGGGTTTCATAATGAAGCATTCCGAGACATTTTTTTATGACAAGTATTTTAGTTTGTATTTTATTTTCTAGTTATGTAGAGTTTATGATAATATTTGAACATTTAACCCTTTTCGAATATTCTAAAATCAGTTTGATTCGCTGCAGTTGACACAAAGTGTCATGTTTTTATGAACAAATACAAAATAGAAAAGTGCATGCGAACAGCATTTTCCATTTTAAAAGATTTGCCAAATTTTATGTATTGATACTCATTTCTTAATGTTTAATTTTCATCAAAGATTATTTTTAATTCGAAATATACATTTAAGTAATTTTACTTTACTTTATATATGTATTTAATAAAGTGATATTTCCTTCAGATATATAAAGCTTTGTATTTTATTTACTAGTTTTAATGAAAACTATCCGGGGTCAGAATCCATTGATCGACATCGAGTTATTATTTGTACGAGAATTAATTACGATACGATATTAAATTTCTGGTCTGGTTGCATTTCCAGTAACATTTACTCAGTAAGTTATATTTGAGAGAGTAAGCCGTTTTTATTCTCTTTTGCAATAATATTGAGAAAAATTAACAGAAAACATTTAGTGAGACTCAGCAAATAATATGCAGATCCATTTTCTAAATTTTTTATACAATACAGCTTAAAATTTCACTTTGGAAATTAAAATGTTTGGATATTTTGCACATAATTTTTGAGTTTGACAAAATTTTACTGCATAAAATTCTTTCATTAAACTTAAGTAAGTTTTTTGTTGTTGAACTGTCATCTCAATTTATTTTCTTTTACTGAATTTTTGGGTAAACAGACAATATTCGATTTATTGCCGAATTTGTTGAGAAGTACATTTATTTATATATTCTAATTGTCATGCCAACTTTTTGTCACAGTTCTACTGTTGTTTTAAATCTTACTCTGGATGTTGTGTTTACTTCTTGTTCTCCTCATCTTGAATTTGTCCGCATACCTATAAGTTACAAAGCACACCTATTGTTAGCCTTGATTCCATGAGGTTATATCACTTTTGAATGACACTTTCACAAGTTTTGATTATGTTCGTATTCATCAGGCCACCACAAAGTTATTCATGGTTGTTGGACTGTCAGTAGTAGTCCATAAAAAAGCTGCCACACAAAAGTGATAGTGTGTACACCGCTTTATATACATAGAATTACTTTAACTTAAATTGTCTGATCAGGACAAAAATAGGCACGCTTTGTTAGTAAAACATAACTTGTTTAAAACTTTAGCTACAAACTACCATCATTTAATAGTTTAAAATTATGTCCATCTTTATATGTGCTTTTTTACCACACTCGAATTTTTATTATTCCTTTCTTTTTTTATAAAATACAAAGTTTAAATTGTTTTTGAAACAAATCTCTACCACACTAAAATCATTCAGAATTCATAAATTATGCCGTTTCCATGGGTATCATATGAACTTCTTCAGTTATTTCAAATTGTTTGATTTTAGTCTCCAATACAGCTGTTGTACCTGGTTTATATGTATAATTGAGCTGAAATTAAATATTCGTTATTTTAAATTGTTATATTTTTCACATGAAGAAAACTGTCACAAACCTGTCTCTCTCCTTTCTTATTGGCCAACTCATAATTACGCAAATAATCAGTAGAATCTTTGCGAATTACACATAAATCAATGTTAGATCCAGAACCCAAATCATTGAATACACCAGCAGCAATGGCATCGCGTACTAGTTTTTTGCCTTCTTCTTCGCTCATATCGGGTTTCCAACGGGCTTCGAAGACAGACATGGCAGCTAAACTACCCGAACCCATAGTAGCATATGGCAGCTTATCAGTGGATCCATGTGGGTGAATGGAGTAAATATAGGGTCCTGTTTTATCAACACCACCTAAAACCAAAGCAGCACTAATGTGTCCTTGGTAGCGGAATAACATTTGTTTTAAGAGGGTATTAGCCGCTACCACTGGCACTTGTCTGCCGGTATTGAGACGGTGCAATTCTAGCTGCGAAGCAATCATATCTGTTGTCATCTCAGTATCAGCAGCTGTACCAGCACCACAACAGCTAGAAAAAAGTTAATCATTAAACATGTGAACAAGAGGAAGAACGCTTCCAATACTTACTACATGTTTTTAGCCAAGTAATGAATCTTGGAACAATTCTTGTCGGAAACAATTGGACCCTCGGTGGCACGAGTATCTGCTCCCAGTATTACACCATCTTTGAAGATTATGCCCACAATAGTTGTGCCAGTTTTCACAGTTTTTGGGGGCTGAAATCCACCTTTGATGAGCTCAGCATTTCTGTAAGGAATGTATTATTTTTGTAATACTGGTTAATAAAGTTTGCTAATATGTTTATACCTTTTGCAGTTCTCGAAGTTGAAACCAGATTTTGGTATTTCTCTGAATTGTTCCAATTGCATTTTTTATAAATTATTTCGGTATTTATTAACTTTGCAACCAAACAAATTTTTGCAAGTAGCCGCAATGACAAAACACAATTTTGACACTTAAAGGCTGGAACAGAGCCACACCACAATTATTAACAACGGCGTTGCATTCTGAGCTAGGGACATACAAATCAAGTTTTGACCAAAAAGAAAATTAGTTGCAAAACTATTTTTTCAGCTGTAAAAAAACGGCACGAACAATTCTGACCCAATGGACTTAATGGAATTCAGAACAATGTAAATGTACGACAAAGAAGGAATCGAAGTGATGTACCAAATTTATACCGGATTAGTTAAGCCATTGGGGTTTAATTGTCAATTCCATTACATATTTGTCTTAAATTAGGTTAACCCTGCAAAACGTTCCTATGTACATGACCTTTTACTCTACTTAAAATGTCTAATCCATAGTGGATATGTCAAATAAAATACACTGGATTTATGAATAGCATTTAGTAGGAGAAAGTACAAGTTTGTGCTTGCCAGAAACCATATACAAAAATTAACTAGTGTGTTTTCATATTTTTTAATATTAAATCTAGGATAATACCGATATGACGTTTGAATCTTCTTTATGGGAATTTTTTACTTATATACAATGGAATTGGTTTGACGGAAATTGTCATTTATTTGACATAAATACAAAGGAAACGATTAATGATTTATCATAAAACATATTTGGTGTAAATACGACCTTTCCCGTACAAAAAGGTTCCCGTATTTGCTACTGTCTTCTCTAGATTGCCTTGTGTAAATATCAGATTAGATTATAAATTATGGAGCCTCACTGCAGCTATCAGCTGGACATAAAGTATAAAGTCGAGTTACATATCCCTAATTTCAATTCGTCTGTTTTATAATATTCTGAATATTCTGCGTGCTTTTAAACTTCAATTATTTGCACGCTAAAATATCAATTAAAATAATAGCACAGGCGATCAATATTTATTAAATAATGTCAGGCGTTCGACAAATTACACCAGCTTTGTGGAATTCGGTAACCAAATGGCAGAAATTCAACAATTTACGTATGTCACGCACCTCGCCGGTTCGGAATAACCTGCTGTATTGAATTTCAAGTTGTATTTTCAAATTTTCCAGGACAATTTTCCAATTCAGTTATCGAGAGACGTAATGAACTTTTCACTGAAGAACAAAAAAGGCAACGGGAACGTGTAGGTCGTATTGAAAAGATCGAAGTGCGCTACTTGGGCCTGCCACAGGATGTCACTCTGATCATGAATCGTGATCTATCGACTCCCTATAATTGTGCTCAACATTTAAGCGAAGGACACTGCAAACGTTCCGCCCTGGCCTTGATAGATGGTAATGTAGCTTGGGATATGCATAGGCCTTTGCCGGATAATTGCACCCTGCAGCTGTTGAATTTTACCGTGGCTGATCCACATGTTGTCAACAAGCAAGTCAATCACCGATAACATCCAAGAACATGTTTTTAATTCCTATTTTTTTGTAGAGCATTTTGGCGTTCATGTAGTTTTATGCTGGGAGCTGCTTTACAAAATGCATTCAAAGAGGAAGCAAACTTACAATTGCACAGCTTTCCAGGACCTAATAGTATGTATTCGGATATTCTGATTTCTTATAATTTTAATCGGCATATATTTGTTAGTAAAATCCGGCAGTTTTGTGCATGACATTGTTCTTGGCTCTAGAACATGGGAGCCCAGCAAACCTGAACTGCGTGCATTGTCAGCGGAAATGATTAAATTAGCAGCAAAGGATATCAAATTTGAACGACTGGAAATCAATAATGAGCTGGCTCTTGAAATGTTCAAGGATTCCCATTACAAACGTGAACAATTACCAAGTATTTCAAGTCAAAATCAAGGACGTGTTGTGGTCTATAGATTGGGAACACATATTGATATTTCACGAGGACCTATGATTGCTTCTTCGCGCTTCTTGGGAAAATGTACTATTGCAGCTGCACACAAACTAGCCGATGAAGGCGATAAAGATGCCATCTACAGAGTACAAGGAGTTGCACTTCCCTCAGGTTTTGTTCTAAATCATGTAGCGTATGGAACATTGGAGGAGAGAGCAAAAAAATTGGTAAGTAAAATTATTTTAGTTTGTAAAATCGTTGAATGCTTTTATAGTTTATACAGAAATAGTTTGTACAATACAAGAATAGGTTCCCGTTTCAAATTATTGTGGGGGAGGGCTACTCCTGCTTAGAGCTTTCATTCTATTAATTTGAAATGGGTATCGGGGAAAATAGTTTAAATTGTTCTTTGGGTTTTTTTTTTACAAAATTTGAAAATTATTCCGAATACGAAGAGATTTAATCCTGACCAGAGAACTGTTTTCTGAGTTGTCTTTAACAGCCGTTCACTTAGAGACATATGACCATTGTGGTCATCCTGAGTACCTGAAAAGAAAGTATTAAAGCAAAGTGGAAACAGTATGTAAAACAATTTATTGTAGGCTTTTCAGAGTTTTAAGAAAGCTAAGGGCTTGCCTGAGATCTATCCCTGAGAATAATGCTAGATTATAAATTTCATATTTACCAAACAGTCGGTGTCTTCTGCTAATTTGCGCTAGGCACCTACAGAGTAAATGTTCAATTGTTTCCAGCTCTTTATCCATCATCTACCTCACATAGACGGCAATAATCCACATCGTTAATCTTTTATGGCCCAATGTTGCCCATAGCAACAAAAGACCTTATATTAAATACGCGCAAGTAAATGTATATTTTTACATATGTTAAGAACTGATTATGAACGACACATATCAAAAGAAAAATCTAAAAAATTCAAATTGTTGGTCAAGTTATACTCTTTAATACATAGATGAGAGCAAAAATATGTACAGTACAAAATTGTCTATACAGCCCAAAATATTTAAATCGCTTCGTATTCGAAATATACGTATTGTACCCTCTAAATTGTTGTTGAGTCTTGTAAAAAGAACCTAAAGAATAATTAAAAGTGAATTTTTTGTCGATATTGAATTTGCACGGATGTAACGACGTCAAATTTTTTTCATATCCTATTTAGGATAGTTACATTAAATCTGCGCACAGAAAATAGTCCTGTTGTCACGGGTAACAATTCGGGCCACAAAGGGTTAATATCCCATTTGGAAGTGAGAGATCTAATACTGCAGTGACCTGTTATGATCCCCACAATTATTTTTATCCTGCTCTTACTACAGCAGCGAAGAAGTTATACGACGAAAGAATTCAGGCCAGATGGTTTTTGAAATTCTGCATTAACCACCTCAAAATAGCTCATACGGATTTTGTCAATAAAGTAGCCATTAGGAGGTTGTATAGATCTCTCAATCGGTAGATTGAGCAAGCTCATCGGCTATCTCATTCCCTTCTATTTACTGTGTCCTGGAACCTTAATGCCCGCCTTACTATCTACATATATAGTCACCGGTCCTATGTTATCGACAAAAAATGTTTTGACTATCTCAGCCGCTTTCGTGATTGCTAGGATTTCTGACCGAAAACGCTACAAAGATTGTTAAGTTTGTATGAGTAGTAGATGGCTAGTCCTTGCAGTAAACTCCTACACCATCTTCGACCCCTCTGTAAATATCGACAGATCGGCCAGAGGTAAGGAGCCACTTGTCCAGGATTCCCTAATAGGAAACTCTACTCTAGTCTATAGTCACTGATGTGAGCACTTCTCTCTAGAAGGTTTACAAACTGACGTTGTGTTTAGGATAGTAGCATGGCCAAAGTTCAGCGACTTCCTGGCATCCGTTTCCCGATCGACGCCGATCGCTGTACAGTACTCATTTTGGCCAGCAGTGTATACTTATTGACCCCTTGCCACCATACAAGGCAGCCGTATGTAAGAATGGGGAGTACAACCATTACATACAGGTGGTTGTACTCCCCATCTCAGGTTTTAGTCCCCCCCCCCCCCAGAAAATCAATGCAATATCGATCATACAGGATACGATAATAATTCTGAGGGTACAATTCGAATACGAAACGATTTAAATCATGTGGACTGTATACATATATTGGTACTGTATACATTTTGCCCTCAACTATATTGAAAAGCACAAAATTTTGAATTTTTTAGATACAGGCCCTATTATATGTAATAGAAAAAATATATATGTATTTAAGGCTTTGACACACTAGTCATCAATGTCTTATGCGCTGTCAGTTTGTACATACGACATTTTTGTATGCATGTCAAAATTTCTTCTTTACAACGTTACCAACGAGGCGTACAAAAATATTCAACTTCCCCACTATGGCGAAATATTTTGTACGGCCGTATTGCTCAAATACGTCTCTTAGCGATCTAAACAAAATCGAGAAATAAACTTGAAAAATTATGAAATGTGTCCAATTATTTCATATTCTTATTGAAAAATTCATATTTACTTTATGTTTTTTTTTTTTTTCAACAAATGGAAAAGCAAAAATACGTTCTATCATAGTTGATTTTTTTCAACTTTGAAAATTCGTACTTCGACGTATTTCGGTAATGCCATGTACAGACGAGCGTCGTTCGCTCTCTCATTCGTTGTTCGACCCCTAATTATGAAGTAATTACATAGTTCCCCATACACAATTTTCTGAGCGAACACCGACTTTTGTACGTTGTTCAATTCGAATCACTCTCTGAATAACCAAGAATTTTGTCCCATCCCTAACAATTGAGAGTATTTATCGAAAATAAATTAATTTTGACAGTTTGAAAATATTTATTAAATTTTCAAACTTTTTCAGTAAAATTGAAAATGATGAATGAAAAGTAACAAATTGTCTAGTTTTTATATATGCAAAAGGAAGTAAATTTTGTAATCTACATAATGCAATATGCCTTTCCTTCCCTTTTTTTCTAATTGGCGTACAAAACGAGAAACAAATGTGGGGAAACCCAAACAAAAATTCTCCAATTTTTTATATGTCACATTTGAATTGAGAAAATATAAAAAATTATTCATAGCAACAATATTTTCAGAAAAAATGGAAAACATGAATTAAAAGTAAATAGATATAGGTTCATACTATAGTCAGGAGAAAGAGAATTATTTTTTCTATTTAGATCCATATGTGATTCACGCAAATATGTTAACATTTTTGTGTAAAACAAGAAACAAAAGTTTGAAATAAAAAAAACTCTACTGACATTAATTAAGAATAGTGTTGTATGAACGGGTTAATTCATGTACGTAATTCTGAGAGCGAACTACGTTGTTCGAATGCCCGTCAGAACATGGCATAACATTCATATAAATACATGTGTTCTACTTTTGTGGTGAAAAACGTCAAACGAGGTAGTTGAATTTTAGGTAGGACTATTACATACATTTTGTTATTTGTTTAATTTTTCCCTTTCAAAAATTTAACTTCATTTGTCTTGATTTAGATTAGGCGAGTTTACTTGCGGCAAGTCTTTGTTTGTAGGAGAGAGGGGCAAGGGGAATAGAAATGGAAAAAATTGCTCGTACCGACAATTTTCTGGCAATTCGTTTTGTGTATTTCGTATTTTTTTACATTTTATATTTATTTAAATGTGAAAAACTATTTGAAACAAATAATTTTTTTTTAACCGAATTGCCTTGTATAGACGCATGAAGCAAGTTCAAAAGAGAACGATAAGAATTGCCGCAAGTAAACTCGCCTAATCTAAATCAAGACTTTCTTCGAGTTATTTTCTATCAGCAATTTATTTTCATTTGCCTAAGAACCAACACAGCTGATTTATTTAATTTACATAAGAAAATGCATGCACATATAGAGCGGCCCCTAAACTACAAAAAATTACATATGAGTCCACAAAAGGGTTAAACAATTTGGAGGTACATAATCACAAATTAGTACTGTACACATATTGCTCTCAAACGATTATTGAAAAGCTTTTTAGATTTATGTTTTCATTTCAAATCCATTTATTCCATTTTACTAGAACGGAGAAAACCTCAATTTGTCGTGGCCTAACAACATTCTTATGGTTTTTAAAAGAAAGTAACACATACAGACTAATTTGTCGATATATTTTGGGATATGAACTTATTTATCTTGAAATTATTTTATTTATAAAAAGTCAACTAATCTATAAAAATATGTATGTGCTATTAATGAATTGGTTTTTATTTTATTTACAGAACCCAGCTCGCCAACCCAACGAACCATTTGAAGAACTATCCCATGTATCCCAAATGGCGTAAATTGTTTTTATTATATCTAAGTTAGTATTTTTGTTTTGTTGTAAAAAATACTTTAGCCTCCAATTGAAAAAGAAAATAATATGTAATAAAAAACTATTAAAATAAATGTTTTTCATTTTTTTATTAATTTAAATAGATTTACTGTTAGAAATTCGTAAAACTTAATGCTACACAAATACACAACTAACTTAAACAACTAACGAGATTTACAAATATTTATATATTTAATACTTGGCACTTGGCAATAGGCTTAACTTTGCTAAAGTAATTCCCTTTTGAAATATTTCTATTACTATTTAAAGAGTTGTTCTAATTGATCTTCATTGATGGCTATGGCCAGCATTATGAAACCACCCACCAATACACCGATGACTTGTATCAGCGAGGTTTTTAACTTATCTTTGCTTTCGGCTGCCATTGCTGGTACTAGATCTGCCAAAGCTATGTATAGGAATGATCCAGCAGTTCCTGCATATATCCATTGTGTCATGCTGCTATGCAGGCCAGCTATTAAAAGGCCAATGGCCATACCAACAAAGCTTAAGACCGAGCTGACAATGTTCAGGTAAATTGCCCTCCGTATTGAAACGCCAGTTTGAAGAAGTAGTGCAAAATCTCCCAATTCATGAGGTAGTTCATGACAAAGTACCGCAAAAGCAGTTGCTAAACCAGTAACCGGCGCCGAGGCAAATGCAGCACCTATAGCTAAGCCATCGGTTAAATTGTGTAAACCATCACCGATAATAACCATGAACGCCACCGGTGTAAGTGGTCTTGATGGTTTCTTTTCATCCAGCTTGGTTTCATTTAACATCACATTCAATTCCCGGACATCTTTTGTTTCTGACACTGGAGCTTCCACATTATTCTCCGATACTGTGCAGTTAGTAGTAGCTAATATTTCTTTGCTGTTGTTATTGTTTGAGTGTTTATGATTATGACTGTGATGATGGTGATGATTATGGCTGTGTCCATGTCCATGACCATGCGATCCTTCATTAGTATTGCCTCTCAATAGAGGCAAGAGATTCTCGATAACATACATAAATACTGCTGTGAAAAAGGCACAAGCACATATCCATACAGCCGTCGTATCATGGGAATGTGATGATGCTTCATGGTCTTGTTCCTCATGATCGTGACCGTGAGACTCAGACGTGGGTGCAGCATGTTCGTTAACTAAAGCATGTGGCAAAAGATGCATTAGTGCATCTCCGGAGAGAGTACCAACGGCGACGGCAATCAAAAAGTTGAGTATTTCTTGATAGGCTACGGTCTTCATGAGGGGAACCAAAAGTATTCCCAACAACCCACAAGCTGAGAGTATGAATATCGAAGCGCTGGCATAAATCCAAGCTGTAATATTTAAACAAAATATTATGAGTTAGATAAGGGACTATAACATTTATAAAAGTGATTTACTCACCATTCCATATCATTTCATTGGAGTCCTCTATGTGTCTTAATGGTGCCGGTTGCATGCAAACTTGTTGATCGATTTGGGCCAATAGGGCTGGGCATAATTTCATAAATGTCAGGGGCGTTAATTTCACATAATTGACATAATGATTGAATTCTTCCTCCAGATCATGATCCTGATGATTCGTCTCAACTTTTTCGGAGGACGAGGAATACGTTTTGTACAGTTGTAGTTTACGTTTATGCAAATCATCATGATCGACGACCAAACGCAACAGAGATTTTGGCGACAAACAGACATCGGCTGGCAATGGTGGGCCGTCAAAAGTGGCATCTGTTGATGGTAAGACAGACAGACGAAAGAAAAAAATGAAATATTGAAAAATATAAATAAGCGGTCTATGACTAAGTAAGGAATACATTTTTTTATGACAATGATGACGTTATGACTATGCGCATACGCCTTGTTGTAGTGGGTGGTAAACAATGAATGGATGGATGTCTGGAATGATGTGATTAGCATTAATTATCAACCAACTGTATTTTAATTTCAAACAGGCACACAATTTTGGTCAGGGTAACATTGTGTGTTCGCAGATTCATTTCAATATATTGGCAATGCAAATACAAATATACGATTTCGCAAATGCTATGGTTCGTTAAATCTTATAATACAGTCAAACATCTTTATAAATGACGACCCTTTTGGCTTGATTTTTTTAGAATATCGTAAAAATAAATGTTTACGTTGCTACGATTATTCAGTAGGGAAAATATTCCCCATGGCAATGTCCCCTGAAAGTTCTATATATAAGAATTCAAAATAATATTAACCTTCTTAGCCCCGAACTTTCTTATTTGCCCTATAACTACTTTTTGTGAACAGATTTAATGCAAGTAGCATAAATAGAATATGAACAGAATTTAACGTCACTAAATTTTTGCATTCGAGATATGCAGTACAATATTTTTGAAAAATAAAAGTTAAATATCAAGGAAAACAAATGCAATATTGAAAACAACTAACTTCAAATTATTTGTTAGTATATTTTTCACAAAATTTAAAAATAATGTTAATGTAAAATTTGAATAACAAAACAGTTTTATTAATTTGGATCGTACTGTACACATTTGCCTTTAAATCACTAATACATACAATTTTTGTGATTGTATTTGTTTTCAAAATTTAAAAATTTCTTGTTCTGTTCCCGTTCTGCAAGAATCTACTATTTTTTTCCATTATGATCATGGTATAATAATAGAAGGTAACAACAAGTGTTGTTGTACAAAAAACGATACAACAACCACATGGAAATTTGTTGTTGTAAGTTCTACTAGTGTCAACTCATTTGACAGAAAAATGTAAACAAACAAATTATCATCAAATTATTTTTATTTTGAAAATGAAATATTTTCGAATCCTCAAAATAAAAATTGAAAAACATGAATGAAAATATATCAAATTTATATTTCTTTCGCTTCCACATCTTTCCTATAATTGAGCCACAGCCATATATATGTGTAACACATATGAAAATGCAGGGAATAGCGAGTTGTTCCTTGAAGAAAGATTTGCTTCCTCAAACTTTCCCAGCAGGCAGATTGAGTATGTTGAATACGGGAGCACATTTAATAATGAACAATTACAAATTCTATGCGTTCCCAATTTTCCTGTTGGGTAATTTGTCAAATTCATATTGACACTAGTATTACGTTGGAATCAAATCAGCTGGGACTTGCTGTTACCTTTTATAATTGTACCATGCATTATGATATCGAAAATAATAGTAAAAACTCTCTGTTTCTCTGTCATTAAACTGAGAAATATTGTAATAAAATTTCATTTCAAATTTTAAGGCCAGACATTTTGTATTCAATCCAAATATGCTTGTTAATGATTTTGAAAATACTTTTTTATTTTCAAACGTTTCTTTTTTATAATTGTGTGTTTCAGAAATTTGACACACTCCGACAGCCCATGGGGCCTATTTTGCTCACTGCTGCTTTAAATATTTATTATTTTAACGCATAACAATTTAAATCTCATGGATTTTTCTTTTGTCAATAATCAGGTCTGAACATATCTGACCTTAAATGGCATTTACATTAGAACGTTTTACCGGGTTAAGCTACTTCATGAGGCTTTATTTGAAATATGTACGATGGAATTGACAATTTAAACCCACTGGGTTAACGAAATCCGGTACAATGTAAACGTACTATTATTACTAACGAAATGAGATATAAACCCTAAAACATTTTTTTTTTGTTTTTGAAAAACTTTGGAGCTTTATGAGTTAAGTAGCATTTAGCGACAACCAATGTGAATTGATTTAATTTATGTGTACAGTCCAAATTACATAACCCTTTATTCCTCCGAAAATGCAACTTTGTCATAATAATAGTTCCGTTCCAGAACCTAAAAGAATCTACTAATTTTACAAGTTTTGCTACTTTTTAATCGGAACCCGTTCCTGAACCCACAAAACTGCTAAAACATTGAATCAAATTTAAGAGAGCACAAAACTTTTTACCCAAGAAATTTGGCCGAATAAAAATGGTAAACAGAAATGCCTACTTCTGATTGGCTGTTATGTTGATTTTGAAGTACTGTCGTCTAATTTTGGCAAATTTACTATATTTGCGTTCCCGAATTATTACAAATTATTTTGTACTCTGAGAGCGATTTTGAAATGGTTCTCTTTTACTGCTTTACTATTAAAAAAATACTGGAACAGACCAAATAATTCCCCCAAGATCTATTAATAAGGTCACCCAAATCAGCTGTTTTTTCTCAAGTCTAATGTCAAAAATTTAAACTTTGTTTCCGTTTTCATAATGGAAACCAATTCACAATAATAGATTTTGACCGCAAACTTGAGTGGCAATCAAGCTGGTCTCCCTGGATGACCTTATAAATAGCTCAAGATTTACCCTAAGTACATTTATATTTACGAAATGCACTCAATCTCAAATGTCAATTCATAGCTTATACGCCAATTATAATCCACTGGATTATAATCATAATAATAAATTTTGACAAAAAAAACTTAAGAGACAGCTAGTCTTCCTGTATAACTTTATCATTCAATAATAGTACGTTTACATTTAACCGGATTTCGTTAACCCAGTGGGTTTCAATTGTCAATTCCATAGCCTATTTGTCAAATAAATCCTCATAAAGTAGATTAACCCTGCAAAAAGGTCTAAGTAAATGCCTTTTAATACATAAAGATTCTTTTGACATAAAAAGGGGAATTACAAAAGGTACAGGCACTTCCCGATTTTTGTAATAGTTCCCACACATACATATAACATAAAATTCAAAATATATATATTCCATCTCGTGTCATGTGAACTATAGCAACAAAAACCGTATTACACGTATTACGTGCAACTGTTTTAAATGTTCACTGACAAATTTATTTTTTTGTGGTCTCCGCCATTGTCGCCACTGCCTTCGTTCTCACTCTCTTCACATTCTCACAGACATCTTCTACAACTCTGTGATTTATTGAGAAAAAATCAATCATTAATTATGTAAATTAGAAAGGCATTTCATTAGTTTTTTTCAGTTGTGGCAGGCCTCCATAAGAATGCGATTTTTATTAGCTGCCCTTATTTTAATTGCGCGCCACATTTATTAACGGTTTTGTGAAACAAAAACAAAACACTGAGCTGTCAATAAGTGTCATCAGTGCTTCCGTGTAATGTGTCACTGTGACGCCATATAATTTTGCATATATGCCTTGACTGTTGTCAGTCAGCGTCATATTACATCCACATTACTATTGTGATCATCATCATCACCGTTGGAATTGCCGTTCCACCTTCACTGCCTTTTTATCAATTACAGCCTTTGTAATTGAATTGAGAGTTATTGTTGTTCAATCCACGTCTGTGTGTTTCCAGAATTTGCATTTGTACATTGCATATATTTGTATGTACGATTTATATAAATATTTCGGAATATAGTCTAATTAGCGGCTATAAACAATAGTCCAGTATCGTTTTAATTAGTTGCACGCAATGTAAATAGCTACTGTAAAAAATTACAAAAACAAAATATCAGGAAAACACATTCATATTTTTGGTCTTTTGCATATTTGGAATGGGGAAAACATGTAGAGGTTATTGCAAGTAAATTTTTATGATAGGCAAACCATTTGTTAGTTTACGTTTTTTATAACTTATGTACGTTACAAATTTTGCAAGGATTTATTTGACATAATAGAATTGACAATTTAAACCCATTGGGTTTAATAAATCCAGTATAATGTCAAGGTACTACAATATTTACTTCGTAAATTTTATAATAAATATATATTTAAATTATACATTTGGGGTGAGGTTGAAAAATGTCTGTATTTTTCTGATATCTTCACACATCGTTTATGACATGATATCAAGAGCGTTTAGATTTACGAAATCCACTCGATCTCAAATGTAAATTCCAAAGTATGATTAAGGTGACGTATACGCATTTTTGATTTCAAACTGACATAAAATTACCAATACTACTTAAAATGCTGTCATGCATGCCCTATGGTATGTGGGGCCCTTTAGTAGACTAAACGTGTTCTTAAAAAACACTTGTAATAAAAACTGTGATGTTAACAAATATTATTACTTGAAGAATAATGATTTTGGCAGCAAACTTGAGGGGCACCTGATGCTAGCATGTCTGCCTGTATGACCCTATTTATAGGCCTTGAAGAAAACATGAATAAGGTCACCCAGGAAAATAATCTGTTTTTCCACTTTCCTGTCAAAATCTATTATTGTAATATGGTTTCACATTAGCGTTTGTTAACTTTTCCAGTAAAAACTCATAAAATTCTGCTTGTATGCTAAAATATTACGAAAATCAAACAAACAACTTCCAGTTTTTACATTCAGTAATAATCAAGGTGTATTTAATAAGGTGTATGCATCAGATACAACAACAAATATTTTACAAAAACAACATTGCTGTTATAGAAATTATATTGTCATCCTGACAATAATTTTTTGACAAAAATAAACAAAAACAATTATTAATTTATTTTTGTCAAGAACTATTCTTTGAATAATAATTAATGAATTTGTGTATTCTTGGGTTATTGGAGGTTTTAGGTCAGTGAAAAATAAAGTTTAAGACCTGGTCGCGATTAATTTTAAGTTTCCCACATGTAGCCCATAGCTCCTTGTGATGTTGTTTATATTGTGGATTACAATCTATGTTTTCTATGGAGTGGCTTCAAATCTTGCCTTCTTAAAGAAAATTAAAGGACATAAATCCCCGGCCAAAGACTAAATCATGGAAATTGTGCTGACCGTATAAAATCTTTCCAT